TGAGAGACGTGTTAGACACACCACCACCGTGTGTAGTGGACGAGAGACGTGTTAGACACACCACCACCGTGTGTAGTGGACGAGAGACGTGTTAGACTCACCACCACCGTGTGTGTGTAGTGGACGAGAGACGTGTTAGACACACCACCACCGTGTGTAGTGGACGAGAGATGTGTTAGACACACCACCACCGTGTGTAGTGGACGAGAGACGTGTTAGACACACCACCACCGTGTGTAGTGTACGAGAGACGTGTTAGACTCACCACCACCGTGTGTAGTGGACGAGAGACGTGTTAGACTCACCACCACCGTGTGTGTGTAGTGGACGAGAGACGTGTTAGACACACCACCACCGTGTGTAGTGGACGAGAGACGTGTTAGACACACCACCACCGTGTGTAGTAGACGAGAGACGTGTTAGACTCACCACCACCGTGTGTGTGTAGTGGACGAGAGACGTGTTAGACACACCACCACCGTGTGTAGTACACGAGAAACGTGTTAGACACACCACCACCGTGTGTAGTGGACGAGAGACTGTTACTTACGACACTGCATAACCTGCATGTGTAGTTAATGAATTCACGTCCATTATCTTCATTAACCCAACCACAGTCCGACATAAGATCTATTGTTAACAGAAAACAAATCAGATTGGTGGGGGGGGGGGGGGGTAATCGATGGAAATGGTGTTGTCGAACCAGAGAATAAAACGCCGTCAAGTTTCTGCTTGAGTTAGAGTGCGTCTCTACGATCGGCGGTAGCTACGTCACACGAATGTAATGCTAGACATTATTCCAGCACCCTCACACAGGTGCTACTATATTTAGAACACGGAGTGAACAAACGATGATGAAGTAGAAGGTTTAAAACCCACATTGTACTGTAAAGACTTTAAAATATCGCTCTGTGCTATTTGAACTGTTGGTAATGACGACTACAACATTGCAACAGACCCAATCAAGGCTTTATATCGCATTTCACGTGACATCATCGCGTGAAAGACGAGATTTCGTTTCACGTGAGATAATCGCGTGAAAGGCAAGATTTCGTGGGCTTGCAAAACAGATTCTGAAATATTTGATACGAGCCGGCCCGCGGCATAACATACGCCGCTATTTAGTTGTTTCTAATTTTCAATAATTCATAATTTGTGAATTCGACAGTACCAACGCTGACACTGAAAATATTTCTTTAAAACACTATAAGTAGCTCGTTAAGGATCATAACCCCCCCCCCCCCCCTTCCTTTCCCCCCCCCCCCTACGTTTAAAATCGTTGGCTCTGCTTGTAAACATTTAGAGTGAACACAGCTCACTAAAACCATGTAGGGGTGGGGAGGTAGGGAGAGCGTTTGCAGCTTGTTTTCTAACGGCTCGAAGAGGAGAATTATATATATAGATAGAAGATTTGACCTATCGTATGATCATATGATAGGTCATATGATATGTCATATAATAATTCATTTTATAGGTCATCGAAGAGGTTATAAGATAGGTCACATGATAGTGCATTTGATAGGTCATCGGATAGGTCTTAAGATAGATCATTTAATAGGTCATATGATATGAAATACTAAATGACGTCGTTTTAGATATATCAGTCTGCTGGGCGTGGCAACCATCTAGACAGGACAACCAGTTGACAGGACAACCATCTAGACAGGACAACCAGTTGACAGGACAACCATCTAGACAGGACAACCAGTTGACAGGACAACCATCTAGACAGGACAACCAACTAGACAGGACAACCATTTATACAGGACAAACATCTAGACAAGACAACCAGTTGACAGGACAACCAACTAGACAGGACAACCAACTAGACAGGACAACCAACTAGACAGGACAACCAACTAGACAGGACAACCAACTAGACAGGACAACCAACTAGACAGGACAACCAACTAGACAGGACAACCAACTAGACAGGACAACCAACTAGACAGGACAACCAACTAGACAGGACAACCAACTAGACAGGACAACTAAACAGTAGTGTGACAATCAGTTAGATGATGTTTACACATTTTACCACAACACCATTAGCATAAGCTACCATTTTACCACGACAAAAGTAGCAGAAGCTACCATTTTACAACAACAGTAGCAGAAGCTACCATTTTACCACAACAACAGTAGCAGAAGCTACCATTTTACAACAACAACTGTAGCAGAAGCTACCATTTTACAACAACAACAGTAGCAGAAGCTACCATTTTACAACAACAACTGTAGCAGAAGCTACCATTTTACAACAACAACTGTAGCAGAAGCTACCATTTTACAACAACAACAGTAGCAGAAGCTACCATGTTACCACTGTAGTGTTACAGTCTACTTGAGTAGAAAAATCCATGTAGTGTTACACTGTAGTTAGAACAAGTCAGATACTGACAGAATTAAATATTCTTAAACCCCATTTACACTTTCCTGTCACCTTGCTAGCTCCTAAAGCTGTAGATCACCATGCAAAAAGCTTTTTTTGTTCAAGTTTTTCACATAATATCCTGATTTAAATAACGCCCATTAAAGCTCTATATAGCCGGGCGTGTTTTTTTACCTCTTGAAAACATCAAATACACTTGAAGCTCTACCAAGTGGTCTTACAGGCGAATTATGCCACATGCCGTTTTCTCGACGAGCCAAGAATGGATGCTGATTCCAGGTCTTCAAAGCCTGGTGAAACTCGCGTGGCTTTCATTTGCAAATCAGGTCTTGAAACCCTGGAATCTATCTGGATCCAACGGTTCTAAGACGGACAGGGGGGGGTACATTAACAGTCATTGTACATTAACAGTCGTCAGTTCATGTTCAGTGTCCGACCAGGGGGGAGGGGGGCAGGGGGTGGGGGGGCTCGCTGTTTGAGACTGGACATTTTATAACAGATGTCAGAAATAAATGAAAATACAATCCTAGTGGGACTCAAGGGTTAAGGGAATTTATTTTGTTGTAGGGTTCCACGGGTTTAGGGAATATATGATGTTGTAGGGACTCACGGGTTTAGGGAATATATTTTGTTTTAGGGACTCACGGGTTTAGGGAATATATGTTGTTTTAGGGACTCACGGGTTTAGGGAATATATTTTGTTGTAGGGACTCACGGGTTTAGGGAATATATGTTGTTGTAGGGACTCACGGGTTTAGGGAATATATGTTGTTTTAGGGACTCACTGGTTTAGGGAATATATGTTGTTTTAGGGACTCACGGGTTTAGGGAATATATTTTGTTGTAGGGACTCACGGGTTTAGGGAATATATGTTGTTGTAGGGACTCACGGGTTTAGGGAATATATGTTGTTTTAGGGACTCACGGGTTTAGGGAATATATTTTGTTGTAGGGACTCAGGGGTTTAGGGAATATATGTTGCTGTAGGGACTCACGGGTTTAGGGAATATATGATGTTGTAGGGACTCACGGGTTAAGGGAGTATATTTTGTTGTAGGGACTCACGGGTTTAGGGAATATATTTTGTTGTAGGGACTCACGAGTGATTTCCGTTTAAAGTGAAGGGAGAGTGATGTCAAAATGAAGTGAAGGGAGAGTGATGTCAAAATGAAGTGAAGGGAGAGTGATGTCAAAATGAAGTGAAGGGAGAGTGATGTCAAAATGAAGTGAAGGGAGAGTGATGTCAAAATGAAGTGAAGGTAGAGTGATGTGAACAAACACATAGAGTGCACCCCCCTCCCCCGATACACACTTGATGAATAACATAAGATAATCATCTTCAGCCTAATGTCAGGATGCAACATGAATATAAATTGTGTTATTAAATGTACTTTACCTGCTCATGACGGCTAATTGGTTGGGGTAGGGGACACTACAATCGATCGACACTTAGCTCGTTGTGTCATTAGTTCTAAGAGTGTACGAATCTAGCAATTTCCTTAGCCTACCACGTCTACCTGTCTTTACACTGAGAAGTATTTCTAAACCACTAACCGTTGCTTAGCTCTATGTTGAAATGAAAGCTTCGACAAAACGTGTTGGCTTTCAAACCGATTCGACATTTTTTTGTTTTTATTTTAAGTACCCAACATGAAGTGGTAAATAGTTCAAACAATTCTCAGACGTTATTTTGCTGGTTCTATACAAGTCTACACGACAAAATTCAAAACAGATTTTTCTCCATAAAAGTTGACATTGATTTATCAAGCTTTTAGTTTTAGAGCTACTTGATAGTTGTCATAGCCAGCCCTCAGCAAGGCTCAGTACGTGGGAGTTGTTGGTCACATGATGCATGGGGCTTGGGGGGGACGGTGGGGGGGGGACACAACACAGATGGCTTATGGGAAGAGGATGATGAGCATTAAAGATATAGACAATGTGCATGGTGCAGCCACTTGAAGCATGACAATGTGCATGGTGCTATAGACAATGTGCATGGTGCTATAGACAATGTGCATGGTGCTATAGACAATGTGCATGGTGCTATAGACAATGTGCATGGTGCTATAGACAATGTGCTGGTGCTATAGACAATGTGCATGGTGCTATAGACAATGTGCATGGTGCTATAGACAATGTGCTGGTGCTATAGACAATGTGCATGGTGCTATAGACAATGTGCTGGTGCTATAGAAAGTGTGCTGGTGCTATAGAAAGTGTGCATGGTGCTATAGACAATGTGCATGGTGCTATAGACAATGTGCTGGTGCTATAGACAATGTGCATGGTGCTATAGAAAATGTGCATGGTGCTATAGACAATGTGCATGGTGCTATAGACAATGTGCATGGTGCTATAGACAATGTGCTGGTGCTATAGACAATGTGCATGGTGCTATAGAAAATGTGCATGGTGCTATAGACAATGTGCATGGTGCTATAGAAAATGTGCATGGTGCTATAGACAATGTACATGGTGATGTCTCTTAAAGTTAGACAGTGCACAAGGTTCTAACTAATGTAATTAAAGTCTGTCACATATAATTGATATTTTAATGATTTAATTAATTTGAATAGCATCAAATAAGCAAGACAAGAAATGGTACCCACAAAGTATCAAACATAGCCCACTTTATTTAGTCCTTATTTGAATGTATATACATATTTGATCACAAGTCATCAAACTTCTCTAAAGTTTTTATATTGCTATCATCTCAGTGACAGAGACAAACCTTAACATAACACGGACACAACAAATGTCTTATTTTAGATAAAAACCTGGATCTGACCTGAAACAAATCAAAAAATCTTTTTTCAATTATTTAAAACTAAAATGACAGTACATCTTTAAATGTCTAAAATTTTAGAAAGTTTCTGATGAATGAAATTAATGTATAAGTCAATTTGTTTAACAGCTGTAATGCCCATGATTGAACTGAATGGCAAGATTAGTCACTTAGCATTTAATGGGGATAGTAAATTTTTTAATGGGGTTTTTCTTTTTTATTTGTTACAACTCAGATTTGATACATCTCAGAAAAACATATGCATAGATCAATTTTAGATTAAAAGGGATTATGATTTTAATGTCTCTTGCTTTTTAATTTTGGATAAAAACTCACAAAGCAACAAATGTAAAAATGAACCAAAAATGTACAAAAAAAAACAGTTAAACAGGTCAAATATCTGTTTAAGTATACAAACAGATTGTGTAAAGAATTCAGCCTAGTAAATAGTAAGCTAATCTCATGTGATCAACATCTCACTAGATAGGCTTCAACACAAGAGCTTAGATTATTTTAAACCACTCTGTGCTGCACTTAGAGTATATTCAAGTTCTTGTAGAGGGTTCTAGAGAAAACAGGTGCCATATTAAATACATCCCTAACATATATAATCCAACATGACATCTACATCACGTAATGTTAAGTATCATCAGTAACATAACAAGTGATTGCACAACATGCTGTTTAATCAACATATTCAACGTATGATAAATAGTTGAAAACACAATCTGTAAATCTCATTAATAAAATCAAAATGATAAAATAAATGCAAAGAAGATTTAAAATATTCCTTCCCCAGCAATGAACTAGAACTAAATAGCCTGCATTAGTTGTTTTTAAATATAGCTTGAGTACCTGCTTGCAATTTCCATGTATTTTTCAAATGTGTTCTTAGAAACATCTTGACAGCCATTTTGATTAAAACTTATTTTATTTAATTATTTTAAAGAGCGCTAACATGACATGTCGTCTAAACTGTAAAACTTAAACCACAGAAATATGTAAGTACATGTCATGTTGATCATCACAAAATGCTTCAGCTAGAAGAAAATAAGCTGTTTAAATAACCCCTCAATTCTCCCAGACTATATACATGACATCACTGTAAGAAAATGTATCTACACTGTCTGCACATCATCAAGCTCCAGATCAAAGCCTTCCAGTTCCTCCTGGGTCTGGTAGAATGACGCATGGAGCATTATCACAAAGAAGGAGGCACCTAGAAAAAACATTGTTTGTCATTTTTATCTAACTGCTAAATAATTTACATAAAAATTAAAACTATGGATCTGGATTAAAACTATGGTAGTGGTTTGTATCCAAATCTAATATATTTTTAAAAAATGCTAAAATAGCATAAGTGTATTATCTATAAAGAACCTCCTCTACCTCACTTTGTAACAGGTCAAAAAAAAAAAACATAAATCCTACTGACCTATGACCCAAAAGACAGCAGATCCAGCCCCAGCTAGCCAAAAGAGAGGAAATGACAGGAGACCAACACCTCCATACTGTTGGGCAAGACTCAGTTCATGACCTGTGGAAGTATTGTACTCTACAGTATTACTTTAATTTACTAGTAAGTATTGTACTCTACAGTATTACTTTAATTTACTAGTAAGTATTGTACTCTACAGTATTACTTTAATTTACTAGTAAGTATTGTACTCTACAGTATTACTTTAATTTACTAGCAAGTATTGTACTCTACAGTATTCCTTTACTTTACTAGTAAGTATTGTACTCTACAGTATTACTTTAATTTACTAGCAAGTATTGTACTCTACAGTATTACTTTAATTTACTAGTAAGTATTGTACTCTACAGTATTCCTTTACTTTACTAGTAAGTATTGTACTCTACAGTATTACTTTAATTTACTAGCAAGTATTGTACTCTACAGTATTACTTTAATTTACTAACAAGTATTGTACTCTACAGTATTACTTTAATTTACTAGCAAGTATTGTACTCTACAGTATTACTTTAATTTACTAGTAAGTATTGTACTCTACAGTATTACTTTAATTTACTAGCAAGTATTGTACTCTACAGTATTCCTTTACTTTACTAGTAAGTATTGTACTCTACAGTATTACTTTAATTTACTAGCAAGTATTGTACTCTACAGTATTACTTTAATTTACTAGCAAGTATTGTACTCTACAGTATTCCTTTACTTTACTAGTAAGTATTGTACTCTACAGTATTACTTTAATTTACTAGCAAGTATTGTACTCTACAGTATTACTTTAATTTACTAGCAAGTATTGTACTCTACAGTATTACTTTAATTTACTAGCAAGTATTGTACTCTACAGTATTACTTTAATTTACTAGCAAGTATTGTACTCTACAGTATTACTTTAATTTACTAGCAAGTATTGTACTCTACAGTATTACTTTAATTTACTAGCAAGTATTGTACTCTACAGTATTACTTTAATTTACTAGCAAGTATTGTACTCTACAGTATTACTTTAATTTACTAGCAAGTATTGTACTCTACAGTATTACTTTAATTTACTAGCAAGTATTGTACTCTACAGTATTACTTTAATTTACTAGCAAGTATTGTACTCTACAGTATTACTTTAATTTACTAGTAAGTATTGTACTCTACAGTATTACTTTAATTTACTAGCAAGTATTGTACTCTACAGTATTACTTTAATTTACTAGCAAGTATTGTACTCTACAGCATTTCTTTACTTTACTAGTAAGTATTGTACTCTACAGTATTCCTTTACTTTACTAGTAAGTATTGTACTCTACAGTATTCCTTTACTTTACTAGTAGGTTAAGGGATTTTTATCACATTCATTCTCAAAATCACAAGCATTCAAATCCATCCTTGATTTCAAAACAAAAAGAAATGGATGTTTACCTTGCCACACTACATGCTATTTGGGCTAACTTTTTATATATTTCTGCTCACACATGATGTAGTCATGAATTCTTTATTTTATCAACTGAGTTTAAGATTTTCCCAGAAAAATGTGTGAACTTACCCATGACAGTAATCTTTCTGTCCTGATTTTTAATGCTGATGATGTAGCAGGCACCAAGACAGGCAGCAATGGCTACTAGCAGTAAAGGGGAGGTAATGCTGAAAAAAACAGTTTACTGTAAGCAGCTGTCAGAACAGATGTCAATACCATTTAAGGCAGCAACTACTTAACATCAACATTCAGCCTTATTAAGTTAACATTAACCGATTTTTTTCTCCTTTTTATTTTGCTTTCAAAGTTGGCTACACAAAGTTCAACTCCCACTTGTAAAACCTTTTTGTTCAACAAATCTAATTTTAGAACCCTGAGTTCAACTACACAGACAAAAAGCTTTATTAAATTTAAATGAGGTACAAGAGTTTTTGGAGGATTAGCCTATTTAAAAAACAAGAGTAATAGCCCCTTGAACAACCAAAACTAATGGCAGTACTTAGGTTTCTTCAATTAACGTATTCCTTTGTTACATAAAACTCAGTGTTATCTATTTTAATGCACACCATACAATTTACTTTGATGCAAAAGTATTTTATAATAGTTGATTTCCACCTCTCCATCCTCCACTAAATTATATTTTAGAGTTAGATATAAGTTGCAACTAGTAAAGATAATTTAACACCAATTTGTGCTTTTATTTTAAAATGATCAAATGAACAAAAAATCAACTTACATACAAACAACAACAAGGCCTAAGAAAACAAATAGGTAATTGCCCTGGAAGTTGTCAATGTTCTTCACTATTCTCTTGGGCAAAGGAGCCACAGACTTTGGCACAGAAAACTTTTTTGAGTTGAGAAACTCCTGCCAAGGTTTGACACTTTCACGAGTTTTTGAAAACCATTCTCTGGCAGATACATTAGACAATGCTAACGACATGATTCTGTAGAAGAAGAAAATAATTATCACAAGGATGTTTAAAAATACATTTTAGTTGTGTATTTTATGTTTTAATAGATATTGACTTTTGCTGATGCGATCCCAGACTGTAGATCTACACGAGATCAATATAGATCTAGATATATATGGCAGTAGTTTGATCCAAACAGCTGATATTACAGTAAACTCAGTTTCAAATGCTAACAGATGAAAGTTAACTGAACGTCTGCTTGTCATAGCCCAAATATAATAAATCTGTGACTTTATTTTAAGATCCAAGTTTGTAAAAATGTCTACATGTTCAATAGCAGTGATCTATGTCTATAAATGGAAATCCAGAATTTCCTAAGTTAAAAATAAATAGGAATTAATAGGAAAGGCTAATTCTATATTAGCAACATTGACATAGTGTTATTTCAACGCTAAAGGTAGTCGCAGGTACAACATATATTCCTTTTAAAGATAGTAAAGTATTAGGCATCACAAGTGTAAATACAATGAAGAGATTAATTAGCAATGTGCATATTTCCTTTAGTCTAAACAGGGTGTCTAGAAAAAATGGTGCTTTATCCCCAAGAAAAAAAAATGCCAACATTCTATCAAACAGCATATATATATATATATATATATATATATATATATATATATATATATATATATATATATATATATATATATATATATATATATATATATATATATATATATATATATATATATAAAGAAGCTTGTTTCATTTGTTTTATTTTTAAATTATGTTTTTATCCATGTTAATGAATAGGATATGGCAGAAAACAGATTTGTATTGCAAAATGCGTATTTGATCGTCGCCTTTGTTTGGTGATTTTGTTGATATTGATAGATAGATCAATATCTTTGGAAGCTTCATAAATTGTAATTTGGAGAGATGGGCGCGATAGCACATATTATATCGGTATCATGATATTTCTATATCGTGGTTCCCTTGACGTCACTACAGAAATACATCAGGAACCATGTCAACACCACCTATACAGGCACGCATTCTTTGTGTATATTATATATGCTGTCACAAACATACTTTTTTTTCTATACCGTGGCCTTGTGACTGTTGTGATGGTATGTCGTGTGAATTTTTCTTAATATTTTCCTAATACTAGCAAATCCACAGAGCTATTTAACACATGCAAAAAAAAAAAACACAACAGCAAATCAACAAGAAAAATCAAACAAACAAAAGGTAGGGCTATAATTTAACTAGGAAATGCGAATAACTGCTTAGGTATAACAATGCTTCTTTTGATTTTTTTAAATCAAATACAATCAACACGTTTAAAAGTGTAACATATTTATTTCAAGTATTAAAATTGGATCAAAATGTAAAAAATACGGTCGTTATGCAAGCTGGGGCAGGCAAACGCAGGCAAAAACAAACGAGGGAAAAAATATTGCAAGGAGGGTCATCAATAAAACATGAATATCTCAGAGTCTATGGGTAGGAATACAAAATGACTCATACATATTAGAGTAGAATGACAGTACTTTCGGTTTGTTTCTCTGTGAAACAGTTACAAAATAGCGCCTGATGAATACTTGAATAGCGCCCCTATTTGGGCTATTTCACTCTCATCGATTGAGCAGAATCAAGATTCTAGAGTCTAAGTCTTAACAAGTCTGGATCTAGAGTCTTGGTCTAGGTGCAAGGAGTAGGAGTTCGGAGATTTATTTTTTTAAAGAGCTTTTTTAAACATTTTTAAAATTTAATTTTTAATTTTTTGCTAGGCCTAGATTTTTTATTAATATTAATCTAGACCTAGAGTCTAGTATAATTTATTAGTTATCTTATATCTAAGCAAAAAATTAAATCGTAAGTCCAATTATATATATTATATAATCTAACTTTATTCTACCTATTTTTAAGATTTTGTTTTTCAGGCGGTGAGTAATCTAGATGTCCATCAAGTAGATTCTCTTTATCCGCCATGACAGTTTGTACGTGGAGATGACAACGCCAGACTTAATAAGCTTTACTTTTGAAAAACGAAACAATTCATAGGCATAGATTCTACTTTTAATGTTCATTCAAATCAAAATTAGATTAATAATCTAACTAAATCTAGAATCTAGGTCTATATAATTTATGTTTGTATAAAACCTACTGTAAATTTGTTTTTTAATATTTATTTTCAGACTGATTAACTACTAATCAAGTGAAAACAATGACTTCTTAAATTTTAATTGACCTCACAACAGAGGCGTAGGGGGGGGGGGGGGGGGGGGTTCGCCCCAGCGTCCTCCAACCGGCCCACGAGGGCGCCCCACCTTATTCTACCCGGCTCACGAGGGCGGCTCTGCTTCCTCGCGCCACACACTAGGACGCATCTGCAACATCCGTACTTTCACATTGTATTTTGTCAGCATGACAATATTGTCATAGTCTGGCCCATTTTATGCCAGCCTGATAAATTTGTCAGAATTTGACCTATATAATGCCAGCCTGACATTTTTGTCAGAGTGTGGCCATGTTATGCCAGCCTGATAAATTTGACAGAGTGTGGCATATATAATTATCATGCTTTCCACTGTGGATTTGAACTCGTTACCAAAATGAGTTGGCGCGCACTCTACCTCTAGACCACACAGTCAGCATTACTTCTTTTAACGTTGTAAACATTTATTGATGCTATTTTAAAAAGGACGTACCATTTTACAAGTGAGTTATGTTTTTTGACGAGTCAACTTTGACAAAAATATAGTGTAAATAAAACACGAGAACAGAAAGTTCACTCAACTGTGGTGAGCTCCTATCACTTGGGAATGTTTGATTTTTACAAGCTTAGCTTGCTTCCTCTCGTCAGGGGGAGGGTGGCACTTAATATTTTTGGCGGGTCGGGGGGAGGGAGAGGGGAATTTATTTTCCGGGGGGAGGGGGGGCGGACATTGGTAAAGTTATGTTAATATAAATTCCATTTCGCTCGGGGAGGGGGGTAGACTTTCTTTGTGGGGCTCTTTTTATATAATGTATTTAGTTACAAGTGTGTTAAAAAAATTAATTTATGAACCTGTATTTAAAGTTACAGTGCTTCCTCGACAGTTGACAACCGTCGGGAGAGTGATATTTTGCCAGGATACAAGCAGAATGCTATAGTATGCCCACTCAGAGGCGTAGCGACCATTCCCGGCGTCCGGAGACAAACTTTCAATTTGGCGGCCCCCTCGGGAGCAAATTTTCAATTTGCACACCACCCCCTCAACATTTCGATGTGCACCCCACCCCCTCAAACTTGACATTGTAATTTGTTTTTACAACCCATTTTGGCGCCCCCTAATGTCGGCGCCCGGGGACATATGTCCCCCCTGCCACCCCTCCCCCATCATCGCTACGCCTCTGAGCCCACTTGTCGCATTTGCTGATTTTTATCTATACTCTGTATACGAGAAAGTAAAGCATTGTAAACGTGCACAAAAATCACATGAAATTTTGACAGTTTTCACAGTTTTACAACTCATTATACGGAATTTTACACGTGTGTTTGTATGTGTGTGTGTGTGTGTGTCTGTCTGTCTGTCTGTGAACACGATAGCTGAGTATCGTTACAGCTGACGAAATTTCATATAAAATAATTATATAAAATGTGCAGTTCTGTATAAAATTTTCCGGTAACCGGAAACTTATAGGCTTATGAAAAACTGAAAGTTGAATAACTTGAGTACTGTTTCAGTTAAATAGATCTTTTACATGTGAAATTTCGTCTGATTCTGTTTTCTGTCAAATTTTGGGTAATTTCCGGTGACCTGAAGTACGACTTTACGCTATTTCCGACTTCTCAAAAAAAAAAAAAAACGCATAAGAATTTATTTTTTTTAAACTTTCGTCCGCCATGATAGGAAACTTGCGAGAAAAATTTTGAGCGCTTCTACCAGACTTATTATATTGTGACATTAAATGTTAATTAGTTAGGTGTTCAATTAACTCTTTGAATATTTTTCAAGGTTTTCTGTATAAAGTACTAATGTTCCGCAGTATTCCACACACATTAAAAATAATACGTATTTCTTCCAGTCATCTCCGGACAAAATGGAATTTATATAGAAAAGATATACTTTTTACCAGTGTCCGCCCCCCCCCCCCCTCCCGAGTCAATGCATCAGGCAGCACTCTTGTAACGAAGTCCTAGAGGAAGTGGATAGATTCACCTACCTTGGAAGTATTGTTGATAAGCTGGGCTGGACAGAAGCAGACATAAAAATAAGGACGGGCAAGGCAAGAGCAGTCTTCAACCAACTGAAAAGTGTTTGGGGTTCCTGCAGTGGCGTAGCGCGGGTTAGGGTGTCACCCGGCACTTAATGGTGTAACCCCCTCCCCCCAGAGGCGTAGCGACCTTTTCCGGGGACAAACTTTCAATTTTTTTATTTGCACCCCCTCCCCATCAAACTGTCCATTTTCACCCCCCCCCCCCCTAAAATTTTCGATTTGCACCCCCCTCAAGCTTTCGATTTGCACCCCCCCCCCTCAAGTTCTTCTCTACATATTTTGCTATTTTTTGCCTTGGTGTCACCCCCTAAATGGTGTCGCCCGGTGCGGTCCGCACTCCCGCCCCCCCCCCCCCTCTCTCTCGCTACGCCTCTGCCTTTAGCTATATTTGCAGATTGTGTACGAGATCTTCAAAAATACAGGTAAAGAAAACTGTACATTAGAGGGGTTTTTTTTCAGTTTGATGTCATCCAGTGCGGTTTACACCCCGCCCGGTGTACTTTTTAGTAATTCATAACTTACGAAGTCGACATGACAAAAAATAATGGTTTTAAATTAAAACACCATCAGTAGATAGCAATATCTAAAAGACGATTATCTGCCCCGTAAAAGCAACCGTGACCATATTTTACAGACGACAGCAAGTTCTTATTATTATTTTTACCTCCCCTTAGTTTTAAATAGTTTTTTAAAAAAACATTACCTGCCCCTAATTGCCTTCATTAGAGATCGACCGTCTTCGCGATGGTAAACATTCGGCGTGAACCACAGACCGTCAGACACGTTGGTTGATAGTGTTTATAGCAGTCTATCTAGTTATCTACCCTTCTGTTATTGAATATACTTATAGTAATCTATCGAGATTTAATTTGGTTACTTCCCCTTAGCTTCGAAACCATTTGATTAATTTAAAATGTTAATTTCTTAACATTAAACATACTGATCAAGCTTATTATAATATATTATTGTTTAACCAAATATATATATTGCTTAACTCACACAATTCAGATACTCATAAGCAGAACATTTGTTTTATTGTATTGTTTTATTCTTCCAATCACAGTTTAAAGTAAAGAACTTTGAATAGTACAAAGATAATGGCTTTTTTTCATGTAGTTTAATTTACACATAATCTAAATCTGAGAATTTTTTTTATCAAAATAAAGAGTAAGAAAACTATTTTAATGAAAGTTTCTTAAACAATATAACAAAAAAAGATATAGCATGCAAAGCATTTACAGGACAATATGATGACAAATCATTTTTTTTTAAGTCTCATAATTATTATTTATAATAATTATAAATATTAAATTACCCAATGGATAGATGACACATACTTGTTGCTTTTAAAGTATAACGTGAAAAGGTATTTTTACTCATAGCAATACTAGACATAAAAAATTAAGGAAATCTTTACACAAACAAATTTCAATTCCTATAAGAAACATTTTTACAAAAATGTAGTATAAAGTAAGTGATTCAAAAGATCCCTACATAAACTAAACTCATTTTCATAGTAGAGACATAAATTTCCAATAAATATGAAGGAAAAAAAGGCAGTTAAGTTTTTGGTGCTGCAGTAGTGGAGACATTTTGTGATAATGGTGGATGTGTTGGTGGTAAAATATGACCACCCTTACGTGACAGTAATAGAATTTCTTCTTTAAGGGCATCAACTTCTTGGGCTTGAAGCTGAATCAGTTGAATTAAACGTTGTTTTTCACGGATATCTGATTTACGTTGACCAACAAATTCCGCACTCTGAGAAATAAACAAAATCATGTTTTACTGTGGGAGTAGCTGACGTGAATATCAAGTTTCAACTGGTTCATAAATCTGATAACAGAGCAAAACATACATTTTAAAAACTAATTACAAACTACTAAACAAAGGTAAAGTTACAATGAAGATAAATTTTGTTACAATTGAGCTAACAAGAAACGACTACCAACCACTTTTTTCTGCCTGTTATCTAGAGTGCTGGTGTACTGGTTCTGTTCTGTGAGTAACATGGCTAGCTGAGTCAGTCTCTTTGTGTTGTCTTGGATCATGGCAGTTACCTTCTCTTTGTGGTTTTCTATCTCCTTCTGCATTTTTTTACAATTAACATTTAAATTGTACTGAATTTCTTTGGTTGATTTGCAAAAGAGATTAAAATAATCTATTGTTTTAAAATTAATTTAGGAAAATTGTGTTCCTGTAACAACAGAAAAGATAATGTTAATTAATAAAATTAAAATGATATGAAAAAATCAATGGGTCTACTAACATCAAACTGTTTGACATCATTAGCACAGTCATTTTCAGTTAGTCGAAGCTTTTCTTTCAGTTCTTCAATTGTGCGATTAACCGTAACAGTCTCTATCTTCTCTAGGTCCACAACCTGACCAAACTTATCCAGCATCAGTTTGGCACACGTCTCCTCCATCTCAGAAATTTTAGCATCAAAAGTTTTCCTGTCCTTGATAAGCTGGACATGCTGTTTTCGAGATTCTCTGTTTATCAAACAAAAAGTATTTTTATCACACATAACAAATGTTATATTTACTGTAAATCTCAGCACTTTTCATGACATCTTGTGTTTCTAACTGGAGAAGTGCAGTCTTTAAGTATCCTTTCAGACATCATTTTTTTCAAGTTAGCAGTCAAGTGCTTTACCTCTCAGCTAGTTTTAAGTGTTATGTAAAAATGAAAACCTCACTACTGTAGTACAGCTCCACCTAAAACCCCTAGGCCTACCTCATGTGTCTTTTTTGTAAGAGTTTTTCATGTTCCAGCTCTTTGATTCTGTGCTGCAGTTTGACAAGTCTTTCTGATTCAAAAACTAATGTGGGATTCAAATCATGAGGGAATACATCGTTGACTATGTGCTGGATCTGATGAAATCTTAGTGTGGCGACTACAATCAGTTCATTCAGTTTTCTTTGTTTCTCTAGCTACAAAAGGACAGATAAGGCTTAGTATATTCACTCACTACAATCAAGTAAACTATATGGTTGCTTTATTATGGCCATAAGTTGAAGCTGAAACATTTAAAATTGTATGTGTATGTTTATATGGATAAGTGAATGTTTAAAATAAAATAGAGGTCAGAGTTTACTTGGAAGTCTTCAAGGTCATCCTGGGCTGTCTTTAACTGTGAATCAATGATTTTGGCCTTCTTCTGCAAACTGTCGAGTTCTTTCTTCTGGACATCCTGGTTCTTCTTCTCATCAGTCAGTAGCTCCTCTAGGTCCAATCTTTTCTCTCGCAGCATGCACGTGTCATCATACAGTTTCTGAATGGTCAAATTATTCATTCATTCATTAAATAAAGCTGTATAAAACGTATTTAACTTCTCTTTCTATTGTGTCTGGAATAAACACCAGTGTAAACAGTACATACTGGACTGAACCCCTTGATTTAAAACTGACCTGATCACACCAGTGTAAACAGTACATACTGGACTGAACCCCTTGATTTAAAACTGACCTGATCACACCAGTGTAAACAGTACATACTGGATTGTTCCCCTTGATTTAAAACCAGTGTAAACAGTACATACTGGACTGAACCCCTTGATTTAAAACTGACCTGATCACACCAGTGTAAACAGTACATACTGGATTGTTCCCCTTGATTTAAAACCAGTGTAAACAGTACATACTGGACTGAACCCCTTGATTTAAAACTGACCTGATCACACCAGTGTAAACAGTACATACTGGACTGAACCCCTTGATTTAAAACTGACCTGATCACACCAGTGTAAAAAGTACATACTGGACTGAACCCCTTGATTTAAAACTGACCTGATCACACCAGTGTAAAAAGTACATACTGGACTGAACCCCTTGATTTAAAACTGACCTGATCACACCAGTGTAAAAAGTACATACTGGACTGAACCCCTTGATTTAAAACTGACCTGATCACACCAGTGTAAAAAGTACATACTGGACTGAACCCCTTGATTTAAAACTGACCTGATCACACCAGTGTAAAAAGTACATACTAGACTGAACCCCTTGATTTAAAACTGACCTGATCACACCAGTGTAAACAGTACATACTGGATTTTTCCCTTGATTTAAAACCGGTGTAAAAAGTACATACTGGACTGAACCCCTTGATTTAAAACTGACCTGATCACACCAATGTAAACAGTACATACTGGACTGAACCCCTTGATTTAAAACGCACCTGATCACATCCAGGGGGACAAACATCCAGGTCATAACCTCCCGCCTCTGATTCTGATTCCTCATCGCTCTCCTCCCATTCGGATTCATCATCAGAGTCATCATCTGAGTCTTCTTCAGAGTCTACAGCACAGAAAAACAGTTAAACCGCAATGCATGTGCTGATTTTAAATAGTTTTAAAAGACAAGCACTCAAATTTTAACTTTAAATTTACATTGTTTTAATTAAGCCATGGCTTTAAAACATGTCTGTTTTGTCAATAATTTTGTTTTATTTCATAATATAATATGAGAAATTGATATCTTTAATATAATTGAAATGGAATCATTAAAGATAATGAGTTTTGTTGCCTTTGACAAATAAAAAATATGTTGACCTACCCCCTCCATCGTTTGCTTTCTTTTTTGTTCTTTTCACTTTCTTTTTAAAAACTTTGGTCAAATATTCAGCAAATTTGTTGTTTTCTCCTAGAGACTGTGTAAATGTTCCCATCAAAGCTTTCTCTTTATCCAAAAGTTTGTCAATGTCTTTTTTTTTCAAGTCTATTTTACTCTGAACTTCAAGCATCTGTTACAAAATTTAAAAGAACAGAATCTCATTAGTTTAATGATAAACTTAGGAAATTTATGGAACAGCATGGCTTAGCAGTAGAGATAAGACTGCTAACCTGGAAGTCTTGAGTTTGAGTTCAAGTCAGAAGATTGTCCCTGCGTCAACCCAGCTGTAATGGGTACAGGACTCACATTAGGCAAAGTAAAGGTGACCAGGCAGTGCTGGCCACACTATCTCCTCATATGCCAGGGTCATAGAAACAGCTGAACTCTACTTCACTTACCCCATGGACAGACAGGTTTGAAAAGGGAACTTTAACATGAAATCCAGGGTATAAAGTTTACTTACTCTAACTCCCCTGTTAAAAAGCTACATGGTGCGTTAAATTTGTGTACATTTGTAAGAGTAGGTCTACTCTCATCTGATATGGCCAACCTTCTAGAACACTTCCTGGCAATAAGATACTTAGATTAAATGAGTATTTTTTGTGTCTGGACACATTTAGGTCAAAGCTTTACCTTGGCTTGCATGTCTGATTTTTCATTTTGCTTGCCAACCACTTTTTCAGCAAGAACATCTTCCCTTTTCTCATATTCCTTCAACAAAACTAACTCTTCAAACAGAGTTACTTGTCTAGGGAAAAAGGGAAAAATGAAAAATAAGTTAATAAACTAAGTATGGGGAGCAGGGTATAAATTGACAAATTTAACCAAAATCTTGCACATTATAAATTACAATTGTCTATGCTAAATTATATTTTCTAATTCTTTAACATACTGTAAATTGTTTTGTATTGATGATAATTACATTACCTCAAATCAGCATCCATCATTACAATGTCCAGCTTAAATTTGTCATGTCTGAGCAACCTCAATTCAGCATCAAACTTTATAAACAAATTCTGGATGTGTTGTAACAATTGATTTTGTTCATAGGTCAGCCTAGAAATTAAAGCTCATACTAAAACAAGATATTCAATATACTTATAAAGCTATTTCAAAAAAGTTTTATTTGGATTCTCTCTTCTTCAAAATTCAGGAAAAGAGAAACAAATTAAATAGTCAGAATTATATCAAATTGGTAATCTTAACAGAAATATCATCTGAAACCTTTTAATAAGAATAGCAAAAAATGTGTAACCTGATCTGTTCAATTTGATGAATTTGTTTCTCTAAAGGTGAGACTGTGTCATCTTCTGCTATTTCTTCACTCACTTCCACTTCTTTCTTTTCTTCTTTCTCCCCAGTGCTAATTTTAGAAGTCTGCTTGGAAAGAGTTGATGCTGCTGTTTGCTAAAATATATATATATATATATATATTTGTAAGTAAACTTCAAGTAGGCTATGACAGAAGCTTACAAATATTTAAAGTGGGTTTAAATAATGATTGTCTTTTTATTAAGGTGTTTAATTGTTAGTAAGGTTTTTAGTAACTGTCTGTGTAACAGGTTTCAGTACCTGTCTCATTTTAAGGTAGATTTTAGTATCCATCTTTTCAGTATATTACAGTGTCTATCTGATAAAAATAATTTACAGTGGCTGTAATTTGTACAAAGAGCTTAACGTTGTCTTAAACTGTTGTTACTTTTTAAAATACTGGTTTGATTAGAATAATGCAATAGGATAGTAGAGGTTACATGGAGGTTGAAATATTTAAATACATAATGAAAACCACAGAAGTATTTTTTACTTTTATTCTGACAAAGACTCTTGGACCTAGCTTTTTTTTGTAGGGGTTTCTTTATTTAAATGCCCTGAATACTTCTTCAGTTTTCAAGCATTTCATTTGTAATACATAAGCTAATGTTTAAAACCGTGAATTAATTATAGAACAAGAAAAACAGAATTCATAAAGATCACAAAATGTTTGCCTGTGATTGAAATCTTACACATTAATTGTTCAGGTTGCTGTCTTGGTATGAAAAATAATACCAGTGTAATGTATTTTTTTCACCAGTCTAGGTTTGATAATAAATTTTTGCTTTAATCATAACATTAGAAACATATGGTTATTGTATGTCATTAAATAAATCTGTCAAAGCATATCTGTAGAAGCAGACAGGTTACACAAGGAAACATAATGCATCTTGTAAAGAAAATAACAAAGCACTTATAGGACTAGCCAACAGTAAGTGTTTACTTGTTTACACTGGCATTATCTAAACACTATCTTACATTTGTTTCATCAGAAACAGAATCTTCACTCATCTGAAATTGGGATGTGAAATAATACATTGTCATAATGAAATAAAACAGCAAATGTATGACCTGTTGGCAGTTGTAGAGATTTTAATGTTTTTTATTAAAACACCAGAGCTGCATGTATATATGAATATAAAAATGAATACTAAAATTATTTTTGTTTTACAAAAATTCTAGTAATCACAGAGAGTCTGATAAAGATTATTTTTGGTTCTATATTTTTTTTCACCAAAAATTTAGCAGAAGAAGAGAAATAAATCATTGGTTTATTTTAGCTAAAAATAAAATCCAATCAAGGTCATGACCTTTTCAAAACAAGCTTCAGACATATTACCTGCTTTTCTAGTGCAGGAGCAGCGGTTGATCCACCTCCACCACCAAAACCAAATCCAAAGCCTCCGCCTGACCCTGCCTGTCCTCCATCTGTCTTAGCTTGTTTTTGTCTGATGTCATATTCTATTTTAAACTTCTTTAAGCTCTCTTTAGTGTACTCCATAACTCTGAAGAAAAGATTTTCTACAGCTTTACCAATTGTATAGATGAGACAGACAGACAGACAAGCAGATACATTCCTGATACAGATAAACCACAGAAACTACTTATCTCACATATTTGCTTGATAAAGTAGTAACTTAAACTTTGGTTCACTAGTTCATAATTAAGGTTTTTACTACATTTTAGGTTGACCTATTTAATTTCCTGTTTCCCTCCTCACCTTTCTGGCATCTCTTCCAGTGTCAGCTCTGGAATAGGTGGAATAGGAACAAGGCGTTCAGGATCCAGCTTGGACTGAATCTCTTTCAGCTTCTCTACAATTTCTTTCACTTCATTAATAACTTGAATTTTGCTGTCTCTTAATGCCAGAAGTTTTTGGTTGAATTCATATTTGTAATCATGAATCTAAAACAAAGTATTTTTTTAATTTATAATCAAAATTACGTATAATTAAAAAATGGGGATGGAGTGGTCTAGCTGTAGAGAGCTGGACTGCTAACCCATAAGTCTCGAGTTCGAATCCGGGTTCAAGTCAGCAGACCGTCCCTGAGTCCACTCAACTCTTATGGGTACCTAACTCACGTTAGGGAAAGTAAAGGCGGCTGGGCATAGTGCTGACCACACTATCTCTTCATATGCCGAGGTCACAGAAACAAGTGAACTCTACTTCACTTGCCCCATAGACCGTCAGGTTTGAAAAGGAAACTTTACTTTTTTTTACTTTTATAATTAAAAATAACTCAATTATCAACAACAATGAATAATAGTTCTTTAAGATAAAAGCATTTTAGCAACTTTAACATTTAGTTCTGCTATCCACAACTAAACGGAGCAAAAAGATATTCAAAGAAATTATTATTGATTATAATACTTCATCTTAATATTATTGGATGTTGCTTGAGTTTGACTAAAGCTAGAACAAATAAAGAAATGAAATTGACCAAAACAGTGCACTGTATGGATAGAAAAAAACAAACCAAATCTTTTATAGTGAGAAGTCTCCACTGAGCCTTCTCCACATTCATTCTTAGATGATCAGGTACAACATAGTCAGCAGCAGTTTTCAACTTGAAGTCTCCCATATTCTCTTGGGCCTCTTTGATAGCAGCCACATCATTGGGGTCTTCACAGTCATCATCTGGTTTACTTGAATACAGTTCTTCCCACTAAACATGGCCACAACAAGTTCAATTTAATTTTTAAAAATTAAAGAATAGAAAACTCTTTGGTTAAAATATAACCATTATGTTATATTATGTATTACTTGGATTAAAACCAATTCACATGAATAGGTATTAATAGGTAATTATTAAATTAAAGACATAAAAAACAAAAGGCTACTTTTTAAATCAAACACAAAAGCAGCAGACAAACCTGTGCTCTGCGCAACGCTCTCTTTCTCTTTTTCTCTTCAACTTTCTGCAGTGCATTAGTTATCCTGTCTCCCAGATTGCCTTTCATGTTTGTAGCAGTAGTGACACCTTTACCTCCCCCAGCATCCTCTTCACTTGTTTTTTCACCATCGGTAACATCAGTTTTATCTAATAAAGTTTCATATTTTGATATTACAAGAACTTCGTCAAGAATAAATTTAAAAATGACTTTACATATGAGTTTGAGCAAGCAATATGTAAATATATGTTTTAATGTGTATTAGAATTTTTGTACCCTTAACCAATATTTAGACACTTTAAAGCTGGAAATATGTGGAGGCAAAGGAGAAGGTATATTCTACTTATTTCTTATTGCAGTTTCATTTATGCACAAAGTTTCTAAATGTCAAAATTGTTGAAAATATATTTTTGAAGTGAACAACTTAAATTTAAATAAAATTATTACTATAATGACAATTACAACGCAACTTATTAGGGATCATATTTCTGAAACTAACTATCTATTGTACTATACATAAATAGTTATTTTTAACATTTAAGATCAACATTTTAAGTGACTTAAGACTAGCCCAGAATCACAAATGAACCAGAAATGAAAAAGTTGATACAATTGTTCATTTGAAAAGTTGTAATGTTGTAATTGATAATGTAAGTGATATAAAAATATACTTACTGTCAGCTTCATTTGAAGAAGCATCTACTTTCAAATCATCTTTAGTAGACATCTTTGTTTTCTTGCGTTCAAATTCAGCTTTAATTTGGTAAAAATCTTCAGAAAGCTTGGAAGCTCTAAAGCTTGTAACTTCATGTTGTGTTGTGAAAGCTTTGACAACAATCCTCTCACATTCTACACAGTCTTTGAATCTGGAATCATTGAGAAAATTTTATGATATGCAAATCACTTGTTTAATACTTTGAATTATTTATTGCTTACAACTTAGACCTATCAGCTTATATAAATAAATGACTAAATGTTTACAATTAAAACATATACAATTGTTTAAATCTGTATTTTGACTTCTGTAATCTTATTTGATTAAGGTTGAAAGAAATGTCTCCTGTTTTTTTTTCAGGCCTATTAATAAATTTGCAAAGCTGGGAATGAGCATTGGACAGACATTGGTAATGAATAAAATTTCATACCTTTTTCTAAGTTTCTCCAATGATATTCTAAGCTTTTCAGATTCCCAAGCCATCTCCTTTTTAACAGTGTCAATCTTTTCAAGAGTTCTTTGTTCCAATTCTTGTTTAATTTCTTTATCCATTTCAAATTCCTGATTAGAAGTATAAGACCATTTTTTTTTAAAAGTCGCATATAAATTAATTTAAAGGCTATGTAGTTTTAGATATATTTAAACTACTTTAGTAAATAACGAAGTTTATCTCCTTTAAAATTAGTTTTGTAACATTTTTTAAATGTGCATGCAGGACTATATACAAAGGTTTAGAGGTAACATAAAGATGATTCTTATAAAGTTACCATGCGATTGAGTTGAAGATGTTTAGGTAAGTTCTCGTTTTGTTCAATTATTGTTCTGAATTGGCGCCTCAGTTGGTTGATTTTTTTCTTCACTTCTTTTTTCTTATGTTCAGCTTCTTTCATTCTTTTGTCGTACTCAGATTTTTGTTTTGCATCTTCAATGCTGTGAAAGAATTTTTAAAGTTTAGCCTAACGACAAAAAATGTTTAGCATTTAAACAAACAACATTTTTAAAATTGAGAACTGTAAAAATACATATCAAAACCAAAACAAAACTATATACTTTACTCATAGTTAATACCAGTGCAAAACTAAAAATACAGACTAAATATCTTATAATGAAATAGTGTTTGAGAATATGATTCTTAAATTACATCCAGATTAGAAGTTCTAGAAGTTAAATGTACACCCAGAGTCCACCCAACCTAGATGTTAATCTATTTTTAGAAGATAAAGCTTTCCAGGAGCCATGCAGCAAGATTTCACCTTGATTTATTAAAACAATGTTTATATGAGATTCATTAAATATTTCTTGAAGAGATTCATTAAATTTTTCTTGAAGAGATTCAGTACAATATTCCCCGAAGAGATTTATTATAATATTTACTGAAGAGATTCATTAAATATTTCTTAAAGAGATTCATTATGTTTCCCAGTTGGGGGGGATCCCTTCCAACACTAAAATTAAGAACGGAGAAGAAGAACAAGATTATGTTCATTGAACATATAAGTAGAGGTCATTTCCCTGCCCTCTCCTTTGTAACTCCAAACATCATCAAATACTAACCTGTAAGCATTTGGATCTTCAATGTCATCAATAAGCTTCTGTTGCTCAATATACTGAAACAGAAAGAAAATAAAGTTATTAAAAGGTTTCTCCTATTTATTTATTTATTTTAAAACAATGTATTAACTTTTTCTATAAAAATATGTAAACCACAGAAAAAATACTTTGCACCAGCAAATGATAGAAAATATTGTGTCATTATTTACAGACTCTTCAGAGGACAGTACAGACATATAGAGACCACAGTACCCTTGCTGAAGGAAGTTTAGCTTTATTTTCTTTGATCTTTTCTTCAAGTTCCTCCTGGGTCATGAAAGAAAACTGGAAAAAATTTCCATCCGCTCCACTTGTTAACACCATGGTACCTAAACACACAATGCATCTAACACTATATAATTTGACATTTTTAGTGATATTTGTTTTATCATGGGTATATCAAGACATGAGCTATAGGTACTGTAAGGGGGGAGGGGTCATTTAGCTAACCTGATACAAAGCACACAAAAAAATTAATACAGATCCTGATATTAACTTTATAGATGAGTTGATGTTGTGTGAGAGAACATGGATGAACTGACCAAAACTACATGGATGAGTTAATGTTCTTGTGTGAGATAAAATTGTTGAACTGACATACCATCAAAACTGGATACAACCGATGTAACTTTGCCATAGCTGTTATCATGCATGCTTAAAGTCCACTGGGGGCCAAGTTCAGAGAGATCATTGGGCTCATTCAGCTGCTGGACTCTCAACTGACCATTAGCCATGCCAAAAACAACTGACTGACCAGAGTTGCTACCAAAACAGAAACAATCCAAAACTTGCTCATTGTTAACACATTTTATTGCCTAATTGTTTAATGTAAAGATAAATGAAAACATTTTTTTTTCAAATTAAGAAAAAAAAAGAGATTACATTAAATTACAAAATATAAATTGTATTTAAACAAGACGAAATTAAAACATCTAAGTAATTGTGTACACAATATTTACCTAAATTGTATGACTTCTATTGGAATGTCACTAGATTCAGACACTGGAATTGCCCTTAAAGGCTTGTCTATATTGTCTGGCATCATCAAAGCTTTCTCCTCTTCAGGTAAAAATCTACATTCATACAGGTAACCAGCATCAAAGTCTCCCTACACAAGAGACAAAACATTTATAAATAAGGAGATTTAGATGGCAATTTATAATTAGACACAAAACATTTACGAATAAGGAGATTTTGATGGCAGTTTATAATTAGACACAAAACATTTATGAATAAGGATATTTTGATGGCAGTTTATAATTAGACACAAAACATTTATAAATAAGGAGGTTTTGATGGCAGTTTATAATTAGAACTTAGTTTAAAACAAAAGGGTAAGTGTTGGCCCCTGAAAATTCAACTTTATAATAATTTTTAAGTACTGTGAAAAATGCATTCAAAATGATCAAAATGGTATTGAGCCAACCATATCAAAAATATTCCTAGAAGTCACGTATGATGTTGTATACTGACTTGCATGAACAGCCTAAAAAATTTCAGGCTTGAGTATTTGACTACTGAATCTGTATCAAGCAAGTAGGTTATATTTACCTTCTTCATTAAATGACTTTCATTACTATTTATTAATGGATTGTGATTTTAAAACCAGTATAAGCTAATATAGAATCTACATTTTAATAATTTTATTAAACATGTGTTGCAAGCTACAACTATTAAAAATTTCAAAATCATTTCACTACAAAATTCTTTTTTTAAAGACGCATAGGCGTATGAAATAGATTTTTAGAAAGAAAAAATAAAACCATCACGTGTTTGCTAAACTTTATTTGTTTTTTTCTAGTCTAGAAATCGTGACCTAGTTTACAATCAACCAACATAGTCACCTCTAAAGATAAAACAGCTGGTAATGGGAAAAACACAAGTCAGAAAGTTCAAAAACTAATGCTTCAGTTCATCAAGAACATTGAGGTTAAAGTGGAGAACTTAACTTCCACATAAAGTTATGTACAATATTACATATGTGTGTGCACAGAGAAGACACAAAAACAACCCGCAAAAAAAACTTTTGTCAATTTAGAAAATATGAAAATCTTGCTGAATGCTCAAAGGCTCTCTAGCTTTGTGGGTTGTGAAAAGAAAATCAAGTATAGAATACAAAATAAAACATTTGATATTAGTTTTAGATACATTTGATTTAGTAAATTATAGATATAATCTACAAAATCAAATGTATCTTTTTTATACAAAAGATTTTTTCAAAATATTACTTAGTATGTTATATTCAGTTTTTTTTTGTTCTGAAGAAACATATTTTTTATGTATGTTTTTTAAATTCATCTAAACATATGCCAATTTTCTCATGACTTTAAAAAAAATGTCATAAAATTTAAATACTTTAAAAGTTGCACTGGGAGTGACAAAATTATCTACTGATAAGAAAAATGTAAACTAGGTCTAGAGTTTCACAACACAATTATATAAATAGAGTGAGCATAGTTCATATTGTGTGTGTTTGGCTAGTCTCTAGTTGCAATCATGTTGGCCTCAGTTCTAGCACTAGCATTTCTTCCTTTAGTTCTCAGTCAGGCAGACCCTACTAAGGTCTGCATGCCTGACACTATTGAATTCATAACAGTTGATTTAGTGACAGATGTAAGTATAAACTTCAGAACTTCTTGATGTTAACGTGGATACTGATTCTACTAGATTTTTTTTTTTTTTAAATTATTAACCATGTAGGCTTACAGTAAAATCTTTTAAAATTATATAAATGATTTTAATTTTCTTTTCCTAGCAAATAGCAGTTGTTTCAATAGACTTCACAAAGAAGCTACTTTCAAGTGTTTCACCAAACAGAACAGTTGTTGATGATATTGCTAATGTAGGCTGAGTATTTATCATTTTAAAGTATTTCTCACACACTGTTGAACTGCAGTTTTTTTTTTATTTGAGTAATTTTTTATTTTTTTTTGCAAAAAAAAACATTTTAATCCCCATTAAATTGAATGTGTGCTGAACAAATAGACTCATTAAAAATTCCCTGTCACTTTAAAACTTTTAATAGCAGCTACTTTTTTATTCTCCTTTTCTAACAGTCAAAGAGCTATGTGATAGATGCCACAGGAAATTGTCAGTCCTATGATGCTCCTTTATCTGCTCTGTACCCACAGTGCTTACCTGGTAATGTGGGCTGTAGCCCTACTAAGCTGATACCATTTGTTCATAAATAGATATTGGTTGTAGCCAGTGGCGCAGTGAGGTTGGGTGTCAACCGGTGCGGCACTTAATGGTGTCACCCCCCCCCCCCCCAGAGGCATAGAGACCCTTCCCAGGGACAAACTTTCAAATTTTCTATTTGCTCCCCCCCCCCCCTCAAGTTTTCGATTTGCACCCCCCCCCCCTCGAGTTTTTCTCTATATATATTTACTATTTTTTGCCTTGGTGTTACCCCCCTAAATGGTGTCACCAGGTGCGGTCCGCACCCCCACCCCCCCCCCCCTCGCTACGCCCCTGGTTGTAGCCCTAAGTTTTTGCTATTTAGTTTATAAATATATATATAGGCTGTAGTCCTGAGTTTAAGCTGTTTAGTTTATAATTATATTGGGCTGTAGCCCTAAGCCACTTCTTTTATTTAGTTCCTAAAATCTATTTTTAAAATATTTTTAAACTAGAAATTAAAAAGAGTTAAATTCTTTATAAATAAACATATATTAAATAACGCACTATTTTTCTGACAGCAACTGCCCAACTTGAGGACAACATTTATATTGGATTTGGACCTGAGAGGCTACAAGCCGAAGCTTGGTTCATCAATCCATACAGTGGAGGCACTTTAAGGCTAGCCTTCAGCAAGCAGCCCAACCAGCCAAGCTACCCTGTTCTGTCAAAGTTTGTTGACAGTAAGTAAATCTATTGACCTCGTTTTTATGCACATGTTTCACTGACTAAGCTGATAGAAGTGATACAATTAGATAAAATGTAAAGCCTGGAAAGTGATATAATAACACTTCTTTATTGTTTGATGTAATTTTCTTTAGGCAATGGAGATGTATTTACAACCTTCTACGTCAACCCCAATACAACCATATCCAACCCAGATAGCTTCAAAATTCCAGACCCCTGCCCACCATCTGTCATTGTGTAAACCAGGGCAAGAGATTTTAATATCACACAATATGTCTGTCAAAGCTATTGGTTTTTTTATTTTATTTGCGTAATGTTTTGAATTTTAATAAAAATACAATAAGCACTGTCGTTGTTAAAGAATTTGTTACAAATACCAAATGTATTTGAATGGTTATTTCTTAATATAAAATAGTTTAATATGGGACTACACTTACTTGAAAACATTTGTTATTTTAATCAAACTGACTGTGTGCATGACAATCACTAGGAGATAAAAGTGTACTCACCATTGAGAGCCAGAAATTGCCCTCTTCTTCAGAATAAGTTGCATGTAAAATTTTACTTGGGTCTTTTGGAATAAATGGATGCCACTCCTTTGGTGGGGTTTTGGGCTTTTGAACTGTTTTTTTAAGAACAGTAAAAAAATACATTAGAATAATGAAAAATCTATATCAAGTGGACTACAAATACTTCAATTAAATGGCTAAAGTAAATACATCAACAGCTTCACCTCAGTGCAGCCCTTCAAGAGGTAGGACCAAGTAAGTGGATGGTTGCCAGACCCTAGCTAGGAGAGGCTACATTTCAAACATTACCACCACATAGAAATGTGGATTGCCATCAATCTTGAGATGTGAAATCACTACCTAAACCACATACAAATGGATAGGATGGGTAAAAAACATCCACTCCTTCAGAATTGGACCACAAGTGTGTGGTGTCCCCTTGATCCATCCCCTCAACTAGACTGAGTTACAACATGTGTAATGGGTCTCAAAACTCTCACTCTGTGCTTGTGCCTAGCCAGGTAATGTCTGAGTGAGTGGAAATCAAAAATCTGGCCAAACTTTTCTAGAGGCTACATCTTTGTCAAGCTCCAACACATATTACCTTCTTCATCACCATGATCTGATTCTGTCTCTAAACCTCTCTCTATTCTTTTCCTTCTTTCTTCTTGTTCTTTCTTTTTCCTTTCTTCATCTGCTATTCTTTCTCTTTCAAGTTCTTCTTCATGCTACACAAATTTCAAATATTTTATTTTTTAATATTTAAAAAATGCAAATTAAATTTGATGAAATAACATTTTTTAGCTGTTTTCAATCATTTTTGAAAGAATTCAAATTTAAAAAATAAAAAAATATACTATCTGCTGATACAGAAATTCTAGCCCTACTTTTAGCACCTCCCACAACCACAAAATTAAATTTTACTTAATCTCTATGAGAATGGAAACATGCAGTCAAAAAGATTTAGGTCATTTTTCTGGTATGAAGATAATAAAAAAAGGAAATAGCTAGAAATATTTTAAGCTTCATATGTTCATCAGCTGCCTATAAATCAGGTGAAACACAGAAGACAACAGAACAGCAAACAAAGTCATACTAAACAAAGACAACAGAACAGCAAACAAAGTCATAACAAAAAAGTTACCCTTAAGTAAGATTTAATGCTCTTGAAGGTGTAGGTTCTCATGTTGAGTCCACTAATTTCATAAGAATGAGATGTGTCAAAGTTACCAGGTTCTGGAGAGTCAACTTCAACAACAACTCCATCATCACATACAACCAACAATGCCTGTTTTTTCTGGAATTTAAAGCTCAAATTAGCATTGTAATCTAAGCCACAAGATACTTTTTTTTACTTCATGATTAAGTAATATAGGCCAAGTTCAAGGCTTAAAAAGTGATGGAAAGTTGTATTTAACTGTATTTAAAAAGTCAGTAAAAGAAAATATATTTAAGTGCATAACTGTTTTTCAAAACTTCATTATTCTTTTATTTAAAAAGTAACAACAAGAGCTAAAACATGAAATGTCAGCAAAAATTGAACTCACAAATTTTTCTGGAGTCCAGCTCAGTTGTCTCACTGGCCCAGGTACTTTAATAAAGCCAATGGGGTCATAGACCTCACTCACATACAGGAAGAACACAGTCCCATCAGCTCCCTAAACAACACAGCATTTCTTTTTCATCTTTTTAAAATGTTTTTTAACTCTAGCAATGATCATTACTTAATCACTTAGGTTATGCCAAATCATCTTTTGAAGTGATCAATATTTAATCCTATCACTTAGGTTATGCCAAATTATCTTATGAAGTGTTTGGACAATTATTCAATCAAACTTACACCAGTGGCAAGAATTTCTCCTTTCCCATCAAAAGCAAGGGCAGTTACTCTGTTCTTGTGTGGCTTAAAGGCTTGCTTAAGTGTGATTTCAGCTTCCTGCTTATCTGGCCTTCTAATATTGTCTTCTTCTGGTTTGCTGGTCACATTCAAAGCTCTGACAACACCATCTTCAAACCCCACAATGACAGAGCCTCCTTTTGAATCAACCTGTACACAGGTGCATAAGTTTTATTAGACAAGCATTCTTATTCACAGCTCTTTAACTCATACACATTATAGTTAATAAATGATTTTTAACAGTGATATATCTTTTAGAAAAAATATGTTGTAATATACATAAATATACCTATCATATATTGCTTTATTATCCTATGTTCCCACATTAAAAAAATCTTACTGTTAAAGGCACCCATTCTATGGCTGTTCCCCCAGAAGTAAACTTGGTCTCTGCCAGCTGTTTCATTTGAATGTAATCATAGACCCTCACAGTTTCTGGGGTTATAAAAAGAACAAATTGAATGTAATCATAGACCCTCACAGTTTCTGGGGGTATAACAAGAACAAATTGAATGTAATCATAGACCCTCACAGTTTCTGGGGTTATAAAAAGAACAAATTGAATGTAATCATAGACCCTCACAGTTTCTGGGGGTATAACAAGAACAAATTGAATGTAATCATAGACCCTCACAGTTTCTGGGGTTATAAAAAGAACAAATTGAATGTAATCATAGACCCTCACAGTTTCTGGGGGTATAACAAGAACAAATTGAATGTAATCATAGACCCTCACAGTTTCTGGGGTTATAACAAGAACAAATTGAATGTAATCATAGACCCTCACAGTTTCTGGGGTTATAACAAGAACAAATTGAATGTAAACATAGACCCTCACAGTTTCTGGGGGTATAACAAGAACAAATTGAATGTAATCATAGACCCTCACAGTTTCTGGGGTTATAACAAGAACAAATTGAATGTAATCATAGACCCTCACAGTTTCTGGGGGTATAACAAGAACAAATTGAATGTAATCATAGACCCTCACAGTTTCTGGGGTTATAACAAGAACAAATTGAATGTAATCATAGACCCTCTCTGGGGGTATAACAAGAACAAATTGAATGTAATCATAGACCCTCACAGTTTCTGGGGTTATAACAAGAACAAATTGAATGTAATCATAGATCCTCACAGTTTCTGGGGGTATAACAAGAACAAATTGAATGTAATCATACACCCTCACAGTTTCTGGGGTTATAACAAGATGAACTAATTACTTTATTTTCAACCATATTTGAAAAAATAAATTCACATAAAATTAAATGGCACAAAACTGTTTGTAAAGCAATGTAATCTCTAATTTAAAAAAACTGCTAACAAAAAAATATACAAAACTGTCAACTGACTATCAAGGCCTGTGGATACAACAATGTGTGAGACAGGGGAAGTAACACAGCCAGATATGGGTCCTGCATGGTATGTGAACAGTTTCTCTGGTGCTTGAGATGTGTGAGAGAAGGACAAGTCCAGCCTCCATATCCCACCATTGGCATCCTGACACAAAGGAATAAATGCTCATTGTAGACGCTGTTTATAAAAATGTGAAACTATCAAACTGTTACTACTATATGGAAGGGCAGGTCCAGTTTCCATACTTCACCATTAGTGTACAGACAGAATAATAACTTCTTGACAAGCAGTTATTTATAAATAAGTAACGACTGAACAGGCATCTTACCTGAGCATACCAGATGGTTGGTTCATTCTCTTCATCAATAGATTTAACAATACAGTAGAGCTGGGCATCTGTGCCAACTTTCAGCTCATTCATTGGATCCATTTCAAAAATACCAGAATCATCTGTTGCATCAGCTGTATCAATGGCTTCAAAATCCCAAACCTTTATACAAGGGGAATCAATGAAAAAAACATTGTAAACTGTAACTTTAAATCTTTCCCTTTAGTTCATAATCATTTTCATAAGTCAAAAGAGTAAATTTTTCAAATTTCATTATCATTTAAATTTCATAATTTATTTCTAATGAAAAATTATGAGCAATTACACAAAGTTACAAGTAATGGATAGTTCTAAAATAAATGTAAGTGTGAATTCAATAATAGTTAATGATGTATGAGTACTAAAATGTCCTTGCTGTTATCAAATATTGATAGAAGAAATAAGGACTTACTCTAATATAGCCATCCACACCAATGGTCATTAGCTCGCCCTCATCAAGTAAAATCTGCATAATTGGGCCCTGATGACAATTCTTTTTACCTCTGCAAGTGATTTCTACTTTAATAAGACCACCTTCCCAGAGCAACATGTTGCCCCATTCAGCACCTGAGAGAACCTACAGCAGCAAATAGACATTTTCAGCATCATTTTTTAACTAGGTTTAAATACAATGTAGTTAAGAAATGGGTCCATCTTGTTGTTTTCTTATTTTAATTATCTGTCATTTGTTTCTTTAAAAAATTATTTGATACCTTTCCATCTGGTAACTCCACATATCCTTCAATATCTGAGATTTCTGTACGGCCAAACCTTCCCAGTTCTCCTTGCAACTTTAAACCAGTAAAGGTATCAGCCATTTTCCAAAACCTTGTTTAAAAACATTTTTTAAATTTATTAAAGATATTTGCACCAGGTGTAATGTGGATACAAAGAGCTGGTCTGATACAAGTATCTGCACCTTATATGGCCAGTACCAGCTGTGGTCAGTTGACCTTCTAACTCAGGAGCAAAGGACACTCTAAACACATCTTGTGAAAATGACTTGGTTCTGAGGGTTATCTTTTCTTGTTTCCAGTTCCACACAGTTAACATAAAGTCTGGGTCTCCACCTTGTGATGCCAGGAGCTCACCATCTGGGCTGTGGGCACCATCAAAATAAGAATATAATGCTTGCCTTTAAAAAAATTTGTCATGTGAAAATAACTTATTTAGTTAGAGATGCATTCTCAAAGAATGATCACCTGAATGCCAAGGATGCGTATGACTCTTCAGTTCCTCCACGTAGAATACGATAAAGCTTTAGAGAAGGGTACTCAAAGATGTTGATGTTGGGTGCACTCCCCTTTTCACCTACAGCAAAAAACTTGTGGCTTGGATGCACCTAAAAAGTTTTTAGAAATTTTTTTTTCCTTTTTGTAGTTTAAGGGTTTGTAAATATGTTGTCTGCTTGAAAGTGAAAGAAACAACTTACACAAATCGCCCCAATACCACAGCCACTAGTTGAACGAAGATACCTCTGCTCTCTGGATTTTAAATTTAAAATCTGAACCAAATTCCCTGCAGCAAAGATGACATGATTTTCATCCAAAAGTTGAAGGTTGTTTCTTCGCTTACAGTCATAACCATATGAATGTCTGTTTGAATATAAAATAAAATGTGATCTCTATTTATAATTATTAAACTAAACAAAATGTTAATACAAGTATGTTTGTCAAAAATATTACTCTGATTTAGCTTCCTATAGTCATAAGTTTGAAAAAATGCTAAACTTATTTTTTTCAGTGAACAGTAAAGGAAATCAGTAGAGTTTTAATTTTAATAAATGTTATGAAAGCAATATAATGACTTACTTCAATTCCAACATATTCAAAGGAATACCAGAATCTTGAGCTACAACAGCCTTTGATTCCAACTCTTCAAAATTGTAATAAAAATCTGCAGGAATCAGGTCTTCCTCTTCTTTCATTACAGCTATATTTGACTCATCTTCCAGTTGTTCTGATTCTTCTAGAACTTTTTCAGCTTCATTTTCTTGTTTAGCATCCACACCATCTTCATCTGCATTTTCTATCTTTTCTGTTTCACTTTCAGGCTCATTTGCCTCTTTCTGAGTATCTGCAATAAATCATTATGCATACGTTTAATGCTTTCATCAAGTTTAAATTAATTATTGTTTGAAGCTTAAGATTTACTTTAATTCTTTAACAAAACAACTGAAAGATCTGCATATTTATAATTAAATAATTTACCTAAAACATCATCTTGATTAAAACCATCAGCTATGTTATCTTCACCTGAAATTTTGTTAATATCAATGAGATAATGATAATGCATACAAACAAAAATCTAGAAGATAATGTAATACACAGCAGCCATACAGTAGCAAGTTCTGGTCCTTACGGGCACGCTTTAGGCCTAAAGCCCAGTAGTTGTTTTTATTTATGTCTCAGAAACCAGTTCATATAAATAAATATATTTAAATATAATTGAAAAGAAGATATTACCATCTGCTTTAGTAAAAGGCTCTTCTTCTACTGGCAAACTTTCTTCCAGATTTACTTCCTGTCCTGTCTCTTGTTTTCCCAACTGATCTTCTTCACCTTGATTATGTTCTATGTTTGCTTCAGTTGTATTTGTTTGATCTGTTTCTTGAACATGATCTGGAGAAGGTTTAAAAACAATTGAATCCAACAATTAAAATATTTAATACATCTATTTAAATTTGCTATAATTTGGAGTTGAGATACATATATAAAATTAGAAGCTACTAACTGTCATCTGTTGTAGGTGGAGCTATCTCATCTGTTGTATCAGAATCTTTTCCTTCTTTAGACTCTTCATTATTAGTTGTCTCTTGTCTACCAGACTCTTCATCTTCATCATGTACTTCATAAGCTTCCTCAATTTCATGTGTTTTTTCTTGCCCAAGTTCTTCAACTTCTTGAATTTTTGCATTTTCTGTTTCATGGGCTTGTTAGATAAGAAAAAAAAATTACACCTAGCCGACTATTTTCACAGTTTATAAAACTGTTTTCATCTGTTATTGGTCCTCGTAAAATTTAGACCATAGTCTACTTTAAATAAATTATTAAATGTTCTTAAAAAAAAGTGCTAATTCAATCCCAAACCCAACTGTAGTTCTACCATAAGCCTAACCTTAACTAGACTTGAGATTACAATACTACTAACAATCTAAAACATCTATTTTCTGAAGAGTTTGTTCTGACGTCGTGAGATCTGTACCCAATGAATAATGATCCTAAAAGGAATTTTAATCAGCACAAATTACCACAAAGTAAGGTTTTCAGAAGATCAATCACAGAGTTCCAATAAAATAATACAGCCAATCAATATTTGTCTTGCTAAAGTGATAGTGAAACAGCAGGTATCATTTAGGATTGATGAAAATAAAGTAAATAAATAGAAATGTAGTTAAATAAATGTAGCCTTTAAAAAAATTAAATGCAAATTAAAATATTTTCAATTATTTTCAAGTTCTCTGCATTTGCAACTTTTTAAATTGTATTTTTATAGGTCTAACAATGGTACTAAGCTTCTTTATTTATTTTTTAAATCTGTTATGAAGTCAAAATTGACAACAACAAAAATGAATAGTGAAAGAAGACCCTTTTTAAAAAAAAAGTAAAGTTTCTTGTGTCTTTTTTTCGTCTATCGACTTTCGTGAAACTCGTGACGTTGTCCAACCATTGCTGAATTCAACTAAATTGGAAAACTAAATAAGGAAAACTGCAGAAATTAGAATTATTTAGAATCGTAAGCAAAAAAATGCGGAACTACTATTTTCTTTTTGTCAAATTTGTATTTTATAACCTTTATCCTTCGCTTCTGTAGCAGCCGCTAGATCCCCCTGTTCTTCCATGTCTTTAACTTTAGCTTGCTGTTGCCAGGGATGCAAATGTTTTGCGCATGTCTACTTAACAGGGGAATCTACTCCCTTAATAAGCCCTCGACCATCGCTCGTTAAGTTTGATCCCCTTTTCAGTTCAATCATTGCCTCCTCGAGAAAAACGATTTTCCGACATAAATCATTTAAGGACGACAGGGACGGGGATTGTCCAGAAAGAAATAAGCTACGATAAGTTACGATCATTTACATGTGAATTTTTGTATTTTGGTTGATGAATTAGGCCCTTTTTTACTTTCTCGTATATACGAAGTATAGAGAAAGTCTTGTAATCGTGCAAAAAAAAAAAATCGAGATTTTTACAAATCGTTTTACACCTCACTGATACGGAAAAACATAATTTTGCAATCTTGTCCGTATGTCTGTGTGTCTGTCTGTCTGTCTGTCCGTGTGTAAACACGATTACTTGAGTACCGTTACAGCTAGGTTGATGAAATTTCATACATAAGTATTTTATAAAAATCGTAGATCCGTATCAACTTTTGAGCGATTTCCGATAACCGGAAGTGGTACTTTTCCTACTTTGAATTTTTCAAAAGCCTATAACTTGAGTACTATTTCAGATAGATAAATGAAATTTCACATGTAAGTAAAAGATCTAATTCTCTACCTTCTGTTAAATTTTGAGTAATTTCCGTTGACTGGAAGTATTAACTTACGCTACTTCCGATTTCTCAAAAAACTAATGTAAATTTTAAAAGTACTAATAATATTGCGCACTATTATGCGCTTTTTTTATTTGGCGATCACTTGTTGTGCAATTAATTTGTCTACGAGATTTTATTCTATTTTTAAAACTATAAGTATTTAAAATGGATTAAAAATTAAATTAAAATTTAAAATGGATTAAAAATCATGTCTATAGCCCGAGTTCCCATCCCCTGTTATTTTATGTAAGAATATTCGAGAAAGTTTAGGGGAGATCACTCCCGGTTTATTTGTTTTGTATTTTGCCTTTTTAGCGCAATTTCCTTACAGGAATTGCGATTATTAACTCTTCATTTCTGGATGGATGTGTGTCCGCAGCTTTAAGTCGTCTTTAAGTCGTATCTCCTCCTCAACGAAGCAATATCGAGGACTAGTTCCAAAAGCAAATATGTTAAGCAAGTTCCGAGGATGATTGTGGGCCAAAAAAATTCCCGGAATTCCTTCCTGGATTTCCCGGAAAAGCCAAAAAACCTCGAACAAATGCAGTTTTTGGCCCATATCTCGGCAACCAGACCACTTAGCGACTTGAAACATTTACCAATCGATTCCTGTCATAATTTAGAACAATATTGCCGAAGAAAGTTTTCAAAAATATCCTTTCATTCGGTCACAAATTTTTTTTAAATTACAGGATAACATAAGGAAATTGCGCTTAAATTGTCACTAGACTTTTTATTAACTTGTTTTATTTAGATCTCTACTAGAATAGATCTAGATATTAATAAATTATTTTTTTAAGTTAAAAAAAAAGACGAAACGAGAATATTTATTTATTATATTATATAGGCCTAGATCTACATTAGTTTTTATACTGCTATCAAAGTTTGATTATGTTACAGTTTGATCAGCTGCCTTATCAACAACCTTACTCAATTTTGTTTTCACTTTTCAGCATATTCTATAATTCTTAAAATGTGAACTGAATTTTAATTCAATTCAGTAAATTATCTAGAAATTACTTATTATCAAATATTCTGATTTTTAGAAAGATATAATATAGCACTGATTTTCATGCTGTTTCAATCTTCGTAGAATGGTTAGTTTGTCAAACCAGAATACAGGGGTAAGTATTAGTAAGTAAGTAAGTAAATTACTAAATTCAACTAAATTGGCTAAAATTTAGTAAAATTGCTGATTTCTAAAAAATAAAAGGTAATCTATCGTTTTAGCGTAATCAATTCGGCTGCAGTAGAAATGTGCGGGAGAGGTAACTGATGAATATATTTGTTTAAATAAGTATAATTTAAGTCAAATGTTACAAAACATAACAGATAATTGATTTAATATAACAATCACTGACCAAAACAATTTAAAATATCATGAAACTAACTTTAAACAAGGTGTTTGAGATAAATATTAGCAGATAAAAACAGCGGCCATCTTTCCAAATAAAATTTAGAGTAGTTTCCCTTGATACACATGTCTATTCGTATGTATATTGTGTTGATTTTGTTGTTGAATATACATAGCTGTCTTGTTTAATAAAAGTGGGACAGAGGGCCGTCTTCTTATCTTTAATTTCAATTGAAATTAAGGCTATGTATGTATGTATGTACATCCAAGATCTCAAAGACTTTTGGGAGGTCCAACATTTATTAAACCCTTTTGTACTGATTAACTTGTCAATTATTAGGTCGTCCATATTCTTCATAAATGACGTTGGACTCAAAATATGGGACGGTGTAAAATATTTTTTCAAAAATGATGAAGAATATATTCGTGTTCGTTAGAAATTGTGATTAAGGGTTCGGGTATAGTAGAACTGCGATATGATATTAAATCATCATCTTGCTTTTAGTAACTATTGGGTGAGAGGGAAATCGTCGGGAAAAGTATGACGTCATTTATGGGCGATCCATTTAATTAAGCCTAGTTGTTTTTTTGTCTGTAGACATTAGTCTTAGGCCTACACCTTTTCTGAATTAAGATTATTGTGTTTTTTAAAATAGGTTCAAATTTTAATTAGTTACATTTGAATACCACATGGTTTGTTTTTTTTTTTTTTGGTTTTTTTTTTTTCCTTCTGCTATCATCAGTTTTTTTATTTCTTCAGTAGTCAATGTTTACCCCTCCCCACCACACATTATTACAACAACAAAAAACCACCCACTATATATGTCATAGCGTAGATATATAGAATTAGACTAGACGAGTAGAGGTTACCATAGGACGGTACGAACTTGACAGTAGACGATTTGGTGCGAGAGTATTGTGCGCGTGTTCAATAAAATTTGTGTGGCGTGAGTGTGACGTGAGCATGGTGCGACAATGTACCGATGACGTAAGACGCAACAGTGAAGTTAGTTGGGGGTTAGATATAGTAGAAGACGGACGTATTTTTTTATATTGTACAAATGATCTATAAGTGTGTGTTAATAAAGTTCATGTTATTTCATAAACGAAGTTGTTGACATTGTTAATTAGTGTCTGCGGAACATAAGAGTGATTCCCGTCCTCCTCACGAGTATAATGGTTGCCGTATGAATAGTAGCAAATCAGAATATATTGAGATTATATATAAATCCCCCCCCCCCCCCCCCATCACAATATAGTGATATCTCCCTCTAGAAAAAAAAAAACTAGATGAACCTATAGTTCGTAGGAAAATTAGAATCTATCAATTAAAAAAAAAGAAATACGTCATTTTTCTATACCACGCCGTTTCATCCCCCAATAAGCACAACGTCACAAAGTTCGCGGCGCGTGTGACGTCATTTGTCATTAGGCTAATGTTTAAGAAAAAGATACCGCGTAATTAAAAAAAAATCAAAACAGGCACTAAATGACTATGACGATGAGACTAGCGACATTTAGCCTGACGAATAGATCTAAATGACTTTAGTTCGGTGAATTATATTGGTGTTTAATTTATTACAGTGGCATGATGTTCTCCCTCTACTATACAAATTCACGTGCTTTTAATTTCTGCAACATGCTGCCCTGAGATGTTCGGCTCTAAAATGCCCGTGACACAGCGGCTTCGGTAAATGCATTTAGGCTCCCGGTCCCACCTATAAACGTCTGTCCATTAAGCTCCACGCAAAACGTGTGATTAATATGTGGACATAAGCGGCGCTAGTGGTGGTGTCAACAGGGGCCAAGCTCAGGTCTTAAGCTAAAGGTGCTCCGCACTTCATAAAAGACAAAATTGATGTTCCGATATCGTCGGACTCTGGCGTTTTGCCGACGGCCGTACTCCTAATGCACAGTCTTAGAGGCTGTCCACTGCTAACACTATTTTATGTTAAATTTAAGCCAATACTGAGCTGTGGCTTTACATTAGTTCAGTGGCGTAGCGAGGTCGAGTGTCACCTGGTGCGGCACTTAATGGTGTCTTGGACTCTTGTCGAATATTGTTGCCAGGAGCTACTTGGTTTGAGCCTTATTGTCAGAAGTTATTTCATTTGGAGTCAATATAGTGCGGCTTATTTTCGTCGGTAGGCATTTAGTGGCAGGCCCTTTTTGGCGGGGATGATGTGCTCAGGTTGTTAAACACCGCTTAGGACAATAGGCATGCAATAGTTATGATCATTCGTTATGAACAAATGTATGCATGAAAACGAACGCTTTATGTTCCTCAATTTCATTGAGCACAGCTTTAAAGAAGATTCCAAAATAGACGCATCTCCCCCCCCCCCCCCCCCCCCCCGGACCACCCTGCGTAAGTTGACGGCACATTAGCATAGCATATGTGACATCGTTTATGGATAACACCATATAACTCATTTTGGGTATTTGGTATCAACATTTTGACAACAAAGGTTATTCAAAATGTATATAGGACTTGACATCTACCATAAATGACATCGCACACTTAAGGGGTGGAGTAACTGGTTTTGAGACGACGTTTTACGCGGGAAATGGGAGGGACAAGAAACGTGAAACGTTATGTATTTCGCCAAATACAAAAATGCTGAATATATCGTTTTCATTAGAATTATGGCTTGACTTTTTAACAGGCAGGGCAAAAAGGTAATTTTCGACATTACGACTATTTCGTAACGGCGAAAATGAGGGGGGGGGGGGGTGTTAAGGTGAAGAAAGGTAAAAAAACGGGACGTCATTTATGATTAAATCACTAATTAAAGGAAAAAAGCATGAAAATATTACATGAAAATAGCAAACAAACAATAACATAAACAATAAGAATTAACTCAAACTAATATTTAAATAAACATTAGATATGTAGTGGTAGCTCTATAAAAATAGGGAGTATCTTAATGTGTAAAAATTGCATCTCATAATAATAATTAAATAATTCTAGAACTGATGTTTATTGTCAGTCAATTAAATTGTTTAAAGGGCAGAATTTTAAAAAAAAACGCATGCTTTGTATTTAAACACAAGACTAACGTATTTAATAGCAAACATCAATACATTTCCATACAAATAGAAATTAAAGGGAAATGACTCAAAATAATATTTTCTTAAGATGGCCGCTGTTTTTAATAGCAAATTTAGTATCTGGAACATCGATGTTAAACCTTAATTTCATGACATTTTTATTGATTTAAACCTTAAATGTAGTTTAATATTCAATTATCTTTAGTATTTTAGTAGAATATACTAAAATATATTCATATTTAAGCCATATTTATTAGTTACCTTATCCCTACATTACTAGTGGCGACCGAATTGATTACGCTAAAACGATAGATTACCAAATAAAAATGGTAGGCCTAATCTTAGAATCTATCGTTTTAGGTTAGGTAGATCTACGTAAAATCGCTCGCGACTAGTAATGTGAAAAACAGGTGACTCCTTAACTATAGTATAGTAAATGTCTAAATGAGCATGGTTGCATTTGGTGGAAACATCGCTAGTCTTCATTTATTACTGAAAAGTTTTAGGCCAAATTAAATTGTTAAATAACAGGTAGATCTACATATGCGTTTTGAGTATTTTCACGAAATTTCTCTAGAATCCATAATTCTAAAAATTAAAATAGTTAGGTCTATCACAGGAATGGGCCTAATTATAATATGGCAGATTCTACCTGAAAGAAGATGCACATGTTTGTTGAGTTTAGGCCTATGTGTTGCCTTGATGGAACAGGGATTAATACGATAAATACTTAAATAGTATATTTAAATAGTAATAAATAGGCTGTTAAAATAGATTTTTTTTTTTAATGTATTTTATACTTCAATTATAGACTAGATCTCCTAACTACTTCTCAACTACACAGTACAGATAATTTTGTCAGAAGAATACAGAAGAATAAGTCTAGAAATGAAAAATTCATCAATGATAATTTATGCCCATTATATAAAAATAACAGCAGTTAAAAATAATAAAATCATTGGTATTGCATAAATGAAAAAAATTCAGAAAATTAGTAAATTTAAAGCTTAGTGAGTTTTGCTATTAAGTAAGCTATTTCATTTGGAGCAGGATGGTACAGTGTCTGGTAAGTTTTTTTAACCTGGGTCCAAGTAGCCATGGTTCACTGTGTGTAAACTGTGGTCTACCTTTTGTTTTTTGCATCACTTAAATGTGTATGTTAGATTTAATTATTGTCATTCCAGAGCTACTTTGGGTTTTCTGACAATCGGTCAGCCATGTACTCGACCAACAGTTCTGATGATGATCTAATTGTTGACCACATAGAGCTGATATCAGGTCCAGAGATTAACCATCGATCAATAAAGACAACATGGGCTATAGTTTTAGCCAAGATATTATATGTAAGTCACCATATTATCATTTTCTGATTGAATAAAATAAAAATAAATATCCATTTATTTATTTTTTTAAGCGTAATACAAAGACCCAAAATTTTAAAGACCTCAGTTTGTCATTTTAATGTAAAGTTTACCTTTTCAAATTACCTTAATACCCAGTGTTTCTTTTCAGATTGCACTAACTGTGTCAGCTTATCTGGTACCATTCTTCTGTGGTGAAGCCAACCTCAAATGCGGGGAGGATTCTATTTCTTTGACACTATATATTCATGGAGGGATGTGGTTTATCCTGTTTGGGCTTGATAAATATTTTCTAATGAAACATAATGAAAGCAGGCTAAATGGATATTTGGATTTTTACAGGACAACTCAAAACCTTCGACGGATGCCTTTCATGATCAACTCTTGTGGTAAAAAAAAATTTGACCTCTTTTTTTCTTGAATTTAGCCTGATAATTAATTTTTTGTCTATTGATAAGTGTTTCAAAATGGATATCTGTCTCTAAATTTTAAAGCACTGTTGATTTTTTTATTCACAATTTACTAAATAAAAAAACTATTTAGTTGTTTTTTATTTTACATTCCAGCCAATGCAGTTATTGTTGTAGTGATGAAAATTCTTGATAATCATTGTGGACAAGATGGAAAATGTACATTCCTAAATAAAATTATATATATTCAAATTGTGGTCAGTGTTGAGTGTGCAATGGCACTCATTTTTTTGGTCATCTACTTAGGTGAGTTACACGGTTGATTCTAATTGTGTAATTTTGTTCAATAGCAATGCTTAGTAAAGTTTTATATTTATTATTGTCAATCATGTATTTTCAGTTCACACCGTGAAGTTTAATAATAAAAAAGCATTGCCAGATGTAACACAGGAAGAGTTGATGACAAGTTTTGTCAATTCCCATTCTTCTGCAGATTTAGGCTTTAGGTTGGTGGACTGTTTATTAGCATTACTGTTAAAGCTATAATTGCAAAACAAGTAGGTTATCTTAAAAGATGTACATCACTTAAAGTTCATTAATTTTTACCTTTATTGATTCAAATTATCATTCTCTGTTGCAAAATTTTATTTCCAGCTGTTAACACAAACATATTTCAGTTTGTTTGTTTTAAGCGTTGTAATAATTGTTAACTAGTTAAATATAGGGGAAATCAGAGAGCAAAGTTATTCATAGATTAGAAATGAGGGTTAAATGATGGGCATAAAGTTTGTTCTTCATTCTAATAAAAAAAAACATGCTATATACTCGTCAGGAATGAAAATTATAAAGATCAAGTGATGGAGAAACAAGCTGACATGATAAGGTATCTGAGGCAACATACTGAAACATTGGCCAAGAAGAATTTAACTCTTCAGGGAGAGATAAATAAGCTGAAAGGAGTGCGAAGAGAAGGAAGCGTACATGGTGCATTTTAGTTTTTCTCAATTTATTGTATAAATATTACCAGTTTATTGTGTCTTAAAATAATATACATACCATTTTTATTATTGGGAACTTTTACAAGAATTCATATGGGTAAAATGACTGTCATTACAACCTAACTAAAGATCAATCTGCATTTATTCTCATACATTTCATTGTCTTCTGTTTATTTCACTACTTCCATTACACAGAATCTAATACATTGTTGGATATAATGGTATTTTTTATGTGCTCACACATTGATTGCATGCATGACTTTTGCTCTGTTTATTCAGGTGATTATGTCTATGAATTAGCCTCTGTTACTTCTTAATTCTATTTGGCATCTTAATAAATAATCAATTATGGTAACTGTGTTTAAGATATGAGTAAACAAAAGTCAGATGATGCTTTGGTTAATAAAATGATATTTATATTGATGACAATTTATTAAATGAGACACATTTAATTTTTCTGTAAACTATTTTGAATAAGGAATGTGATACGTATTATGTTTAATAAAATCTGTTAGTGTGTTTAAAATTAAAAGGGCATTGTGTTGCTCTACTAATACAGCAAGATATAGTACAACTGTGTTGTAAAGGAGGAATTTCATGTGCTATAAACAATAAATATCTCTAAAATGTCATTGTTAAACATAAGATTTTACTTTTTGTTTTTTTTTTACTTTTGTGTATTGTTATTTTTAAACACCATGACAACTCCTATTTAAGCAAAAAATGAAATATAGCTTTTAAACAGTAATTGTCTTGTTTTTTTTTTTTTATCATTTGAAAGCTGAAGCTTCATGTTGAGGCAGTGCAGTGAAATAAAATGATATTGTGTGCAAAGATTTTCCGCCCTGTAAAGTGTGATGCTTAATATCACATCTTATAAAAATAGTTTAGTTCCATTTGTTTCTTCTTGCATAAATTATTCCATGCTATTGCATTTTTTTTAGTTGAATACTAAAGCGTGTGAAGGATACAAACTAAGAGCGTGATCACTTAAAGTTTAAATTATTGAAATAAAATACCTTTTCATTAATTCAATTATGCTGCAAGCATTTTTAAAATAAAAGCCTAAAGCTACTCTTCTGAATGTTTTATATAAGAGAACACATCACATGAATTCTAATTTCATATTTTCACAAATAAAAAATTAGAGGTACTGTACAATGTTTGAAATTAATGTTTTTAATTTAGTAGTTCATCCAATGAATGTATTGAGTCCTTAAGTGTTTAGTTACAACAAAGATTTCTTATTAAGCCTACAATTCGATAAGCTCTAATTTATTTAGTTTACGTCCATAGTTTACTATTTGGTTGCCTGTACAGTTAGGTACAAACTTGTATTTTTAACACGTTTTTATTAACTCAGCTTTGCGTTTGTGTGTTTGTTGTTAAAATTGACATCGAAAATTAGCCCACTTCTGATTGTTCTATAGTTCTGAAATTTGGCATGCAGGTTACTTTCGCCTAACAATTTCAGATGCAATCATAAAAACTAGCAATTAGAGACCGTAATTAGCTTAATTTAATTACGCCCTAAGGACCATAAAATTGAGGACATGATTTCTAAAGATACCGACAAGACTGAAGACCTATTGACACAGTTACTTCGGCCCCAATCGATGTGAGCGCGCTGGCCGTGATCGTATAGTGGTTAGTACTTCGCGTTGTGGCTGCGACAACCCAGGTTCGAATCCTGGTCGCTCAAGATTTTTAGTCCGTGTATTTATAAACACTTAGTCAAGTCATACAATTGGATAAAGTAGAAAATAAACTATATAAAAAACTTTTTTTAAAAACCACGTTTTTCATGTGTAGCAACGGACTAAAAAGGAGAAAATAAAATACTTAAAAAAAACTTTTTAAAAAACCACGTTTTTCTTGTGGACTAAAAAGTAGAAAATAAATTTTCATACATTTGATGACAAAAAACGTACCCACGTTTTTTGTCATCAAATGTATGAAAATTTATTTTCTACTTTTTAGTCCACAAGAAAAACGTGGTTTTTTAAAAAGTTTTTTTAAGTATTTTATTATTACAAGCTAGCATGCCCATCCCCGCGTGTTACCGTGGGGTTAGAAGTAAGTCCGAGGATAGCCTGGGTCAAATCGCACCCTACCGGGGCATGCCGGACACACCTGATTTAGTTTGGTGGATGACTATAATGCCCCATTGTATCAATAGTCTATCGCACTGTTAAAATGAACGTATGTGCCACGGGGTGGCCAAATTGCACTCTACCCCCGCGCCTCCTGTGCAAAATGAAAATATATTTTCACAGAAACCTCAAGAATATTATGTACAACTTCCCAAAGTTTCATAGCGATTTAATGAAAGGTGTTGCAATGCATTAAAGACAAATAAAATCTGACAAAATATTTTATGAGGGTTTCTTTAATGCTTTACCAAACCTATATTCTTAGACACGTGACCTAGTTTTCTTAAACTGAGTTATTTAAATGTAATCTAAACAATGTATCGGGGCACAGGTTTATCTACACTACCGCCCAGCACGCCATGTATGAAAGTCTTAAGTTTACGTTAATCACTCGCTGTAATATCACCGATAATCACTCACCGCCTAAATGTCGGGGACGTAGAGGGACGCTTTTGTGAGCCCCGATTACACTACGCAGGGGTGCCGTGTACGGTCCCTGGCTCGGTTCAATCATCGAATGTCATGTGCCGCCTTGTCAATATTGTAGGGTGCTCCTTAAACTAACGTAGTCGCCAAAGTGCTCACAAAATGGCCCAGGGCAGACGCACCTGATTATGTTTAGTGAACAACTCTAAAACCCCATCCTATGCATTTTTATCACACTGTTTAAAACGATTGTAGGCGCTAAAGCCCAGGGCGCCAAATCGCAACCTGTCCGGGCGCCGGCGAACGCACCTGATTTAATTTAGTGAGCTACTATAAGGCACCATTATCGCACTTTTTTGAACTAACGTAGACGCTCACGGGAAAGCCCAGGGTGCCAAATTGCACCCTGTGGGGGCGCTGGAGGACGCGTCTGGTTCGATATAGTGAAGGATTATTGTTGCCCATCATGTTTTTATTTAGAGAAGAATCGCGCCTTCCATGGGCGCCGCCCTTGCGTACTTAAAAAAGATTTTTTAACAGAAACCTCCCCTGGAGTGTTCTAATCAGCTCCCCAAAGTTTGATGGCGATTGGATGAACGGTGTTAATCGACGTTTATTTTTATATACCGTATATAGAAAAAAATCACACCCTCCTGTGGCGCCGCCCTTGCGAAGTTAAAAATGATTTTTTACCTGGAGTGTTCTAATCAACTACCCAAAGTTTGATGACGATCGGATGAACGGTGTAAAACCGCAATCGACTTTTATTTTTATATACCGTATATATAGAAAAAACAACTCGCGCCCTGCCGGTGCGCCACCCCTGCGAATTTGATTTTTTTTTTCCCGCAGAAACCTCCCCAGAAATATTCTTAGCAACTTCCCAAATTTTCATGGCGATCGTGTGAACATTGTCACTGCAATTCACTTTTATTATTTTTATATAGATCTACCACATGCAGAGAAAAATCTCCGATGGTGTGATGATCAGATGGTGTGACGTCACACTTTTGCATTATAAAAAAGCAATGTTAGAAAACGAACTTTAGCCCTTGTTTCGTGTTTTAGATAAATGTTTTAATAAATTGTAATAGGAACTGATTAAAATACTCTATTTTGACAGAGTTCAGACAAGATTTTGGAAAAATAGCGATGTTTTAAGAAACATTCAACATCTATTTTGAGGGGGGCGGGGGTGGGCTGAGATGTGACGTCATTTTAGGGGGAAGGGTCTGGCCTTTTGTGACGACGTGTGACGGAGGGGAGGGTGGAGGTAAAAATGTCCAAAAAGGCGTGACGTCATTTGTGGATTATATTCTCAGTCCATCCGTTATGTCAGGACCCCTTTGGCACATTGATTTGTAGAAGTGTTTTACGCAGTGGCGGAACTAGAAAAAATGGGCCACCCCGCAAAAAAATTTTTTGGGCCCCCCATATATGTATGTATATATATATGTATATATATATATATATATATATATATATATATATATATATATATATATATATATATATATATAAACACACAATACGAACATAGGATACTCATTTCTGGCCTGATCGGGTTTTGAAAAAAAAAATTCAATTAAATCTAATCACAACAACATGTCATGTGTATCAGTGGCGGAACTAGAAAAAAAGCCCCCCCCCCCCTCCCGAAGAATTTTTTTGGCCCCTATATATATATATATATATATATATATATATATATATATATATATATATATATATATATATATATATATATATATATAGATAGATAGGGGTCATCCATAAATGACGTCACGCTTTTTTTGACGATTTTTACCTCCCCCCCCTCCCCTCCGTCACACGTCGTCACAAAAAGTCAGACCCCCCCCCCCCCTAAAATGACGTCACACCTCAACCTACAACCCCCCTCAAAATTGCAGTTGAATTTTTTTTAAAGCATCGATATTTTTCCAAAATCTTGTCTAAACTATTACAATTTATTAAAACAGTTATCTAAAACGCGAAATAACGTCTAAAATTCGTTTTTTAACATTGCTTTTTTATAATGCAAAAATGTGACGTCGCAACATCTGACCCCCCCCCTCCCCCTCATCACACATCGTCACAAAATTACGGACCCCCCCCCCCCCTCCCCCCTATGAGTGTGACGTCATTTATGGATGACCCCATATAGATAAGATATAGATATATTATATAGATATAGATATCTATTATATATATATATATATATATATATATATATATATATATATATATATATATATATATATATATATATATATATATATATATATATATATATATATATATATATATATATATATATATATATATATTTAACAAGGTTCGCTCTCAATTTAAAAAAAATTCCATCTGGTACACGAATAAATCAGAGGTTTTCCAACACACGAGCTGGCCCCTTTCTAAATCTAGTCCAACACACTAAACTGAGGCTTTCATCAAAACGTTACTAACCGTGTGCCCTGTTTTCCAGAAGTTGAATTAAATGTTAACAATGTCGGCAGTTCATTTCTTGGATCTTAGGGCGCGGGTTTGTCCACACTACCAACTAGACACGCCAAGGCATGCTATAAATCCCTCGGCGACGGCCCAGGTGTCAGGGGAGTCACGGGGCTCTTGGAGCTACCGGTTACATTACTGCACGGGTGATGGGTGTGACACATTGTTTCTTCCGGCAGAGCTCCCCCCCCCCTCCCCTCCCCCGAAAACAGTCTACCCTGGAAGAAACATTGGTGCGACACCTAATTAGATTTAGTCATCGAGTGTAGTAGCGAGACTTATTCCTAGTGTTGTGGGAACTTTTAAACGACTGTCTGTGGGGGCCAACTTGCTCATATGTGATGCGCTCAGGATGACACTGACGCCAGTTGTATTCAAGTAGTAACCTCATCCGCTTATGCAGGATCACGGGGCGCTAAATCACATATTTCCGTTAGGAGTCCCCACTCAAATATGTACAAATGTTAGGCCTATGACAGAAACCTTTGCGGGGCTGTACTCAACAGCTTCCCAAGTTTTCATGGCGATTGGGTGAATGATGCAGTAATGCATAATAATAATAGAGAGAAAAATGTTTTTCACATGTACAACTGAATGTGGCCAGGTCACGCGTTGGATAACCTTCTGATTTAGGGGAGGGAGGGATTAACAAAAAGCCTGACCCTCACACACCCCCACCTCAATGACTATTAATAATGTTCAATTAATTCTAAACGTTCTAATTAATTTCTAAATAATTATATAAAAAATAATCTTACCTGCCCTGTTTTGTGAATTAGATGTGCCTAATACTATGAAAGTAAATTAATATGTGTTGACTAGATCTAGTGCTGTCTAGTGTCTGACAAAATGTGCTGAAGTGGTGAATCGTACGGTTAGGAAGTAGTTCATAAACGATACATTTATCTCCTCGATACTTGTGAGGTTGAGAAAGAGGGATGGGATAGGGGTCGGCTCGGGAAAAAACTTGAAAGGGACAACAAAACGCCTTGATCTATGTATGTCAGCATCGCCCATTGTAAAACTTACTCAGGGGAGATAATTTGAAGTATAGGCCTTAAAAGTTTACTATATTTCTTGTAAAATCAAAAACAAGTAAACGTATATAAAACTGAAGTTTCTAGTATTATATTATTTTTTAAAAATTATTTGTACGATACAAGATAGTACAGGATACAAATTCAACCACTATCACAAACACATATTTACATTGAAAAATGTACAATGGATTTCGGGTCCCCTACCAATGCCGCAAATATTGAAAGTATTGCAAGCCCACTTCATATGTAGCGGCTTTTCGTGCTATGGACTTTGTTGTTTTTTTTTAAAAGAATTTTGCCGGCGACAGCGTGTGTTTGATTGTAGGGAAATAGAACTCGGCCTTGACGATGGTTAAAAAATACAACTATAAATAACTGTTTTAAATATGTAAAGAATTTGTCGACAATTTTTTAACCCTCTTTTTGGTCCCCATCCCCTGCCCCATCCGCCACAGTATACTTTGGAGGATCGGTCAAACAGTTACGTGTCCTCTATTTAGCTATCAAAGGGAGGGGGGGGGGGGGGCAACGAGTCAAAGAAGTCATTCAAAATTTGAAGAGTTGCCTATATTTTACACTGTAGCTTGTGTAATGGATTTTATCTTTTGCGGAAGAGCGTGGTATAGTGACTGTAAAATAAAGATAATCGTACCGCAACTACAGTGTTTTTCTTTTACAAACCAAATATTAAGGCAAAAATTAAATTCAAAATTTAAAAAAAAAAATGTTGGTCAGCTGTGGGCCCCTAAACGGCCTCCCCCCCCCCCCCCCGCGCTTTGCGGGGTCTGGCGGGACTGTAGTTCCGCCCCTGTTCATCAGGTAAATGAACAACTACTGACTAGTGTCTTTAACAAAATGTGCAGAAGTGGTCAGTTTACAGTTCATAGACGGTTCGTTAATCTATGCATTACATCTTATTGTAAGAGTAAGGGTGTGGTGAGGGGTAGAAGTGAGGGGGAGGGGGGGGGAGAGAGTTGGGAAGGGAAGGGGACAAGAAAGCGCCGATAAACATCTACATCAATAGTGCCGACTTTTTCCGATCGTCTAGAACAGGGGTCTCCAAACTTTTCAGTCCGAGGGCCGCATTAACTATCAAATTTCAGTTCGGGGCCAGTTAGTTCCAGGCATGTCTTTGATTTTTCTGGGCAAAGTTCCTCAGCCATCACCAACAAACGTTTTTTCCGAGAACAAAAAGATCGCCGCGGGCCGGATGAGAGGACCTCGCGGGCCGTATCCGGCCCGCGGGCCGTAGTTTGGAGACCCCTGGTCTAGAAGACCTGGATAGTCGCCTCGCCGCAACATTTCCCCAGCCCGATTTCAAAGCGTACCGGCACAGTCAAATTTCAGATGCTTCGTCTTTGAAGTTGTCTATATGTCTGGCGGTCTCTCGAGCTATAGTCAGTGCATTTTTCTCAAAGACGTTTGCCGACTATCGTGTTTGTTTGTAACTGTAGAAGAAAGATAACTCGACCTTCACCTAATTTTTTTTTTAAATAATTTAGCCAGGATTTTTGGGCCCCCAATTGGTCTGGGCCCCCCCGCATTGCGGGGTCTGGCGGCACTGTAGTTCCGCCCCTGGTTTTACGTCGCACAATTAAGAGTTTATTTAACTAATTAACATTAAAACAAATATACAATATTTTAATGCATTATCAACAATAAATAACAAGCATTTAGTGAAATTATTATTATAATTATTATGATAAAAGTTATGATCACTAAAGTCTATAAGAAGATAAATTCTGTTGGCATTTATTTCGGTAATGTTTGGACACTTTCGGTTTTAAATTTTAGTAACACCAAAAATGGTGAATGTAACGAAAGGGGTCCTTGTAGAATGCGATCCAGCAATGAAACAATTTCTTTTACATTTGGATGAAAAAAACGAGTTCGGTCGAAAATTTGTTTTGCAGGTACTTATAGGTCAACTTATAATCATTATTACCATAGAGTTCAATAGAGGGAGTAATTACCAGGGTTCATGCTGACTCCTGATAAATAATGATGATATTCCTGGGGGCTGGGGGTGTTGGGAAATTGCGAAATGGCGAGGCGGTAAACTGCGAGAAGTGCGCAAAAAATCGTCGGTCACATGACATTTTTGCCTCGCATTTTACCACAACCCGATACTTAATACTTACGCAGGGTGGTTTATTAAAACAGTGTAAAATTGGGTCTGACTTCTTTTGACAATTGGTAAAAGGTGTAGGCCTATAAAAAGAGTCGGTAAAACCTTAGTCTAGCGTCGGTTATTATTCCGGAATGGTATATCAGTAAAAAAAACAGTAAAACAATGGCAAAGTCTGTCACACACTTCCGGTATCCACCGGAAGTACTGTAAACCATACTTTATTTGGCGTCATCTTTTATTTTTAATAGGCCCTACAGAACGTTTAAAATTTGGATAGATTTATTTTAATTGTGTGTTAAATACTACTTTATTACTCATTTTGTATAACTAGTTATTTTTAAGTGTTTCAGCTAAATATCTCTGCTACTAAACATTGTTTAATAGGTTAATTATGGACTGGTCTACACTGTGGTATGACGTTTTTCGCTGGGTATCGCAGATGAAACCTGATTTCTCAGTTACTACGTCATTGGGGGAGGGGGGAAGAGTGTAAGACCTGTCTTTTTTTGTTGTTGCTTGACTGACCGTGAAAATGTTTAGGGCTAGACTAACCCGCCCCTCATAGTAACTAAGGTCACTGATATCTAAAATTGTATGAACTCACCGTGACCCCAAGTACGTAGATGGTGCTGTTTGGCTTGGTGAGGATATGATATGACTTATTAGACTGGGCTACTGTTACCTCACAGTGACCCCTCCACCGTCTCTTGTTGTGTGTGTGGGGGGGGGGGGGGGATACCGGTAGTTTTTAATAGCAGACAAAAGTTTCTCAGCTATAAGCAAAAATAATGGTGTGGTTACAAAGGTCTTGTTTCATTTTCAAAATTGTGTACGAACCCTGTTTCTAGTCACTTTTACTCTTTTTGTAATCATTCTTACATCTTTGTAATAATTTTTACTATTTTCGTAATCTAGATTTTTTTTAATTGGCCTAGCAGCTAGCTAGATCTAGATCTAATTAATTAATGGTCGCAAATCCGCTGCAAGACAAAAACATTAAATTATTACTTTTGACTTCATTATTTATTGTATATTTATATTATTTATATCTATGTTTTTTTCTTTAGATCTACTAATTTAAATCTAATATTATATTTATTCTTGTTTCCTTTTGTCGATTAAACTTAAAAAATTAAAACAATTTACTACAATCGACTTTCAATTTATTTATATTTTAATGGTCAAATAAACTATGGTTTACCGTAACTCTGGTTACCGAAACTCAACAAACATTACCCGATAATTTCCGACGCTAAACTAAGGTTTTACCAAAGAGTCATTCTCCCCTCACCAGTAATTAAGATCAGACTAGAATCTAGACTAGATCTAGATCTACTATATGAAAGACATGTAGCCTATATAAATTTCTTTACTCAACTCATTGTATAGGATCTTGATGACACTCATCTATTTATTGCGGCTGAGATTGTGGACATTTTGCAAGAGAGGATTGATGATTTAATGGACCAAATGTATTTCAACATAGCTGAAAAATAAATACACTGATATTTATTCTAAAACATCTCTTGTAAGTCACATAAAATTTGTAAATGGGCAATTACAATCACAAGCCTTATCTGAAATAATTTCTTTGTAGAATCTATATAAAATTCTTAGTGCTCTTTCTAAAATAAAATGTTTATTTTGTACTTTCAACTTATTTTAACAGATTGAATGAACTCAAGTTGACTGGATTACTGTATTACATCTACCACTAATATTAAACATTGTTCGGGCATGGAGGTGCAGAGATTGAACAGCATTCCCAGTGATTCTTTTCCAGAACTAAAAGCATCAGAATTACTCTCTTTATTTGGTGGCAGTGAGGAAAATGTAAACTATTTTCTGAGCTTAAAAGAAACTTTAGCCTATCACCGTGCTAATGGCAAGCAGCTTTACTGTGACCCTCGAGATCATGAGATGGTGAAAAGACTAGAAGAGGCTGAGTGGAGACCACAGATCACTTACAAATATTCTGAAAAAGTTGGTTTCACAAGTAAACAAACAGCACTTAATGATGATGCTCCACAAAGTGAAGGAGGTGATCTGACTGAGATGACTCATGACAGTGATCCCAAGTGAGCTAACATTATTTGCTGTTACACTGTTTAAGCATTTTTTTTTCTAATCTCTCTACTTCCTTCACCATTTTAATTCATCTCCTTAAACTAAATTGTATTTGTTTATTATTTGAAAACTTTACTTGTATTCCTTTAGGAAAAGTTTTGTATGTGGAGTGAATGGCTGTCACCAAGTATTTACCACAATAGCCAGGTACATTAAGAACATATTTAATTAAAGGCAGTCTAATCAATTGATAGTTAGGATAAAACTTTTGTAAAGAAATAGAGAAATAAAGTGTCGTTCTTATATACAAAATTCAAAGGTGATTTTATTTTTACTAGTGTGGTATTTAGGCTTACTTTGATTTAACTCAACACCTGACATGAGGTCGTTCTTGAATCCACAGCCATGAGTCTCATTATCAGAACAGCCATGCTTTTGCCTGTGCTACATGTAAAAGAACATTTGTTTCAAACTTTCTTCTGGACATCCACCTTCAAGAGAACCATGACTCTTATTTTCAAATACTCAGTCCAAGAATTGACATGGTAAAATAAAAAAATGTACATTTTGACATGCATTATCTTTATCCTGTAAATGAAATGTGTTGTTACCCTTAGGATTTTAAAATTGTATTGACAGTATCGCTGTCTGGTAGAAAGTTGTGACCAAAAGTTTAGAACAGCTGAGCTACGCAAAGACCACCTTGTCTCTCAACATAAATATCCTGCCAACTTTACATTTCATGGGCTCATTTCATCCAAGTGAGTTAAAAACAATTCAATAATTTTAAAAAACAAATCTACATTACATACAAAAATAACAAAATGTATTTAAACAAAACTTTTTTTTTTTGTTAGAGCAAAAGTTCAGTCCAAAGAAACATCAAGTACAAGTTCCAGTTTGATGGAAACTGATGGCGTGGAAACACAATGTCAAAATGTAAAATCTAAAGGGAAAAAGAAATCCAAAGGCAGAGGGAAAAGGTACAATTATTGTGTTTAAAGCTGATCTCTGTTATTGTGTTTAAAGCTGATCTCTAATTTTGTGTTTAAAGCTGATATCTAATTTTGTGTTTAAAGCTGATCTCTATTGTGTTAAAAGCTAATCTCCATTCCCTATTAACCAGAAACAACTTAACCATTTGTTTTTATTCTGTAGTGTACCCGCTGTCATTTCCTTTGGCTATCATGGATCACACAGAGCCTTTCCGAAGAGAGGCAAGGGTAGCCATTGGCACCAGCTTGGGAAGAAGGATGTGGACACTACAATTGATATTGAGACGGTCAAGTTTTCAGATCTGGCAGATACACTGGTTGAATGATATCTGCAAGCTTAGGCTTTATAATGTTAAGCTCAAATCTAAGATGTATGGAACTAAAAAGCCTTTTACTGCTACATTTCAAATGCCTCAATTGGACTAAAATCTAAATGGTGTACATATATTGAAAAGAAGTCAATTGTCTATCAAAATATGTTAATAATTATCTCATACTTCGGGCAGTAAATTATAATACTGTCTGTGCATTTACAGATCACTTGTTTTTAAATAAACTCTATTGTTTGAATATCAGGGTTTGTATCTTGTTGATTTGGTTACAAACTTTGTAGAGATGTTTGTCATTTAGAAACGAATACGAAAATAGATACATTAATGGCCACAAAAAATCCGTATCAAGAGAATGAGCCGTTTTGTCTTCACAATGAGAAGGGAGATAACTTTAATATTTTTTAAAGGGTACTGAAACAGTTGTGTACCTTTGCTTTAACTTAATTGTCACTAAAGGGAGGCTCATCGGGACTCACTGTAATCAATAATTAATGAAGAATGCGCATTACTACTATTTCGATATCCATTATTTTTAACGCATATGTATTTACAGTGTATTTTTTTAAAATCCATTAAAAATAATTAAATTCAGAATGGGTTTATCTCTAACAGATTTTGACAAAACTCGACGTTTAACCTTTCTGAGCCGGAGAAACCCAGTTTTGCGATCTTGTCTGTGAACACGATAACTCGAGTACTGTTTCAATGAGCTGGACGAAATTTCATGTTGAAGTATAGTATTTCACTGTGTGTAGGTTTTTATGTACTATTGAGCGATTTCCTATACACAGAAATGGTACTTTACGAACAATAGCCTACATGTTAGAATATAATATTGGTTTTGTGAAATAACGTTAAATTTATTTGGTAAATTAAATGGTAAAAATATTTTTAAATGCTTAAATGTGGTGTTACATTTTGCAGCACCTATCTCGCATGGTCACGAAAGCTTAACCCCAAGGTGTATGACGTCATTTATGACGATCAATAAATCCATCAAAAGAGGGAATGAAGAAAGGTTTATTTATATTTACATCATATCAATTACAAACATATCCTTTTAAATTAGTTTTTTTTTTATACAAGAAGCAATGAGAAGTAGCTGCCACATGTAGGTTTGGGGTCATCCATAAATGACGTCACGCTTTTTTGACGATTTTTACCTCCCCCTCCCCTCCGTCACACATCCACATCGTCACAAAAAGCCAGACCCCCCCCCTAAAATCCGTCACACCTCAGCATACAACACCCCCCCTCCCTCAAAATTGCAGTTGAATTTTTTTTTAAATCTATATTTTTCTAAAATCTTGTCTGAACTCTGTCAAAATAGAGTATTTTAATCAATTCCTATTGCAATTTATTAAAACAGTTATCTAAAACGCGAAATAACGTCTAAAATTCGTTTTCTAACATTGCTTTTTTATAATGCAGAAGTGTGATCATCACATCATCTGAACCCCCTCCCCCTCATCACACACCGTCACAAAACTACGGACCCCCCTCCCCCTACGAGGGTGACGTCATTTATGGACGACCCCTAAATGACGTCACTTTTTTGACAATTTTTACCTCTCCCAACCGTCAAACATCGTCACAAAAAGCCCGAACCCCCCCCCCCCCTAAAATGATGTCACGCCTTAGCCTACGACCCCCCTCAAAATTATAGTTGAAATATCGACATTTTTCAAAATCTTGTCTGATCTTTTTCAACATAGATTTTTTTAATCTATTCTTATTACAATTTATTAAAACAGTTTTCTAAAACGCGAAATAACGGCTAAAACTCGTATTCTAATTTTAAAAAATGCAACAGTGTGACGTCACACCATCTGAACACTCCCCCCCCCCCCCCCATCCCCGAAAAGATGCCTGGAAGAAACTGATCAGCTTGAGAGATCAGATAGTTTTACTATATTGCACGACATCTTGCCCGTGAGATAAATATCTCAGATTAAAGATAAGCATATTGTTTTGGTTAGCAACAGGGTTAAGGATTTGTAAATGGCTGTAGGGAAAGAAAGGGATATGTACTGGTATATTGTGTATTGGGGTAATTACACGGGGTGGTGAGAGGAACTAGTAAAACCCAGATAAAACATGCCACATTTCAGATAATATTAAGGTTGAATTTTATTTAAAAGCTCTGTTTAAAGTTAGGTATTAATATTATTGAAAATTCTGTGCATATCCTATAACATTTAATACGTAACTGTCGCTTTTATTTTTGTAATAGATATAGAGTATTCCGTATGTGTAAAATTATCTGTTACAATTTCTTAATATTGTTTTAAGTTTACGTTAACGTTACGCTTTGTAAATGATTGCTATTACTATTATGGTGTAAAAATCTATATACTCTTATGATACTATTCCAATATTTGATGTTTGTATATTTTAATTATTTCTTATGGGGTTGTTGCTCACGAGGAGAGTGAAAGTAAGTAACCAGGGGTTTTCTGTTCAATGGTTTGACTGATGATGTTTATCCTATTTGTGTAACGAACCATGATAATGAGGGATGGTAGTTGATGTATAGGTTGATGTTTAGAATCAGGTACTGTTGCCAGAGGCGTAGCGACCCTTCCCGGCGCCCGGGGACATACTTTCAATTTGGCGCCCCCGTGGGAGCAAATTTTCGATTTGCACCCCCCTCGAAATTTTCATTTGCACCCCCCCCCCCCTCAAACTTTCGATTTGCAACCCCCCCTCGAACTTTTCATTTGCACCCCCCCCCCTCAAACTTTCAATTTGGCGCCCCCCCCCTAAGGTCGGCGCCCGGGGACATATGTCCCCCCCCCCGCCCCCCCCCTCCTCGCTACGCTACTGACTGTTGCTGTTTTGAGCTTAGTATTATGAAACGTTCTTTAATATTTTTTTTAAACGCACACATATTTTCGTTAACATTTACATTTGGACATAAATGGCTGGAACATTGTCCTCTCTCTCTCTCTCTCTCTCTCTATGTCTCTCTCTCTGTCTTTATATATATATATATATATATATATATATATATATATATATATATATATATATATATATATATATATATATATGTTACGGTCAAAGCCCGAAGTCGGCCAATGCTAGGATTGGCCGGCCAATCCGCGCATTGGCCAATATCGCCTCCCATAGGTCGGTCAAAGTCCGAAACTTTGCTTGATTTCGGCCTTTGGCCGGCCAATCCGCAGACTGGCCATGGTGGACCGGCCAAAGTCTGAAATAGCTCTTGATTTCGGTGTTTGGCCGGCCAGTCCGCGGACTGGCCATGGTGGACCGGCCAAAGTCTTAATTAGAAGATCATCTGGCTAGGGACGACCGGCCAAAGTCCGAATTCGAAGATCATGAGCAGATTTTGTTTTTTTTTTATGCCGTAAAGATCATGAAATTAAGTCTTTATTGATTATTAATTAAAGTAAATGACAGAAACATTCAAATTTTTTATTGTACTATAGTCTCAATCTATCAATATCATCATTTGTTACAACAAGTTGAACTTTTATGGCATTTAGAATTACATAGCAGCTTGTTATTTTTACACTTGCAGCGATTTGTTGTGCACTTAGTTGTGCAATAGCAGCGAGTGTAGCCTTGGCCCCCAGTCAATGATTTTGAAGATGCGATGGTTCGTAGTGATTTTTCCTCAGTGCCAACTGACGACAATAAGAGCAGTTTTTCGTGAAGAATTGAAAACTCACTTTTAGCATACAGTTGTTTTAGAACACCATGTGCCGTTCCTAATTTGTAGAAACCGCCCTCGATGCTCATGACAACTGCAATCACGCTTCGGGGATCACCGTGACCTCTGTCAACATCTGGAAAACGGATGCGTACATTGTCACCCACTTCACCATCTTTAAATTTTGTATTTGATGTTTTAAGCATCTTAGCACCTTGAGTTTGCAAGCCAGTATAAGCTGCTGACCTGTGTTCCATGATGTCTTGTTTGTCGTGACACAATCTGCAGGTAATGTTCCCTTCGTACCCTTCGTCTGCTTTATTGGGTGTTCCACAAATAGCATGGACATCGTTGCCACAGTATCCAAAAAAATGAGCTGCACTACATTGTTTTTCACAAACTATACAGAATCTGTTGGCCACATAATTGTCACGCAACTGGTCTGGACTTTCCGCCACGGCAGTAGATGTGTTAGCTGAGGATGTCGTTGCATTTATGGCAACCTCCATTTCTTGTTCAATGTTCTCAAGATCTTCCTCAGTAACTATTTTATCGAGAGCCCATATATGGAAACTAACATGGATTTACATTTTTTTCTTTTGACAGCCATCTGCTATGTCTGTCTCATGGTCTGACGGCCCTTTTGATCCATGTCGCCTTGCATATAGAATGCTATATAAACAAGAGCTAAACAATACGTTACTTTCAATGAAAACGCACACAGAATAATGAAAATGCGATCACAACTAAGTCTAGATAGAACATTGGCCAGGACATACCGGCCAGTGCGCGCATTGGCCGGCCAATGTACAAAATACGCTGTCAAGTTTAAGCGCTTCGGACTTTGGCCAGTACGTCCCGGCCAGTGCGCGCATTGGCCGGCCAATGTACGAAATACGATCTTAGTGCTAAGTTCTTCGGGCTTTGGCCAAGAGAGCCGGCCAATGCGCGGATTGGCCGGCCAATCCTAGCATTGGCCGCACTTCGGGCTTTGACCGTAACATATATATATATATATGTATATATATATATATATATATATATATATATATTTATATATATATATATATATATATATATATATATATATATATATATATATATATATATATATATATATATATATATATATATATATATATATATATATATATATATATATATATATATATATATATATATGGGTCTAGGCCATTACCCTCCCCCCGTCAATTACCCCCGGACATTTCCACCCCATCACTACCTCCTAGCAATTACCCCTTGGCAATTACCCCCCCCCCCCCCCCCCCCCGGTGAATTAACCCACCCTCTCCTCCCCCAATTTCAAGAATCCTCACTCTAACTCCAACTCTGTACCTACATATTACCCTAACCCAAAGTTTAAGAAAACACTAAAACCTAAGCATTCGCCTCAGTCTAAAACTTAACCCTAAACCAACCACAACACTAGACATTGGGCCAAATCCTAACTCTAACCCTGACCCTAGACATTGGTTTAAGCCAAACCCTAGTCCTAACCCTCCTAACCCAAACCCTAGCCCTAACCCTAGCTGTACCTTAAGC